ACCCCCCCCGGTCTCATTTCTTGCTGGGTATAATTTTAGTTGTATCTAGTCTGGTTACTGAACTTGACTTAGAATCTAAAACATAGGAAAACACGGGCATAGGATTGGGCCTATGAAGTCTGGAAAGCAGATTTCACTCATCCATGTTTACGCGTTCGCAGTACGCGAGCATAATGCATCACGTACTCAGGCTGGTACATGACATGTACATGTTCATTGTACATGGCCACGTATAAGCACAGACTACCAATACAACTCCAATGTAATTTATATTGTTTTGGAATATTATGTTTTTAGCTGGTAACTTTTGTTTTTGAGGAAGCATTTGGCACTTCAGCAAATTTTGTACTTTAGCCCTGTGAAAGTGAGCCATGCACTATAAAGGCAACGGCATTTGCCTATGCTTGATCCTTTTACATTTTACCTCTGATTCAATGCTTTTGCTGTTGTCGGTGCATCAGTACTGATGACCTTCCTCTTGCTGTATAAATGGTGTACTTCTGTGTTTTGCCAAGGAGTCTAAAATACATGTACGCAGAGTTTGGGCTTAATATAGTCTACAACTTTACCTAAACATACTGATTTTGGGAATACTTTGGCAGATTTTAATAAAACCAATCAGTTGCAAAAAAGTTTGTAGATCCATTGTTCATGTTCATTTACACATTTTTACACACAAATTTGACTATTTACCCAGACTCTGATTTCTACATGTAATTCGAAGTATTAGTGCTCGGAGGTACAAGTATAATCGTAATTGAAAATCAGTTTTGTACTCGGCTGGTAAAGTACTCAGACTTTCTCGTACTCAGAAGTTTAAGTACTCGGCAGTACTCTGTACTAGGAAAATGCTACTCGACTATACGACATCGTATACACCTCAGGCCCAGCAGATAGGTCGCCCTGTCCACGGCGGTCTCAGCGCTTTTTGTCCAGGGGAGATTATCGGGCCTCATGCTTGGGACCCATGGCAAACGATCAAGACACACGGACGTATATGAAAAAAACCTGGACTTGCAACGCCTTTGTATGAAAAAGAAGCCAACCAGCGGCCATTTTACCGAGCCGAATACAAAAGCGTAGGTTGGCTCCTTTCTATTGACGTCAAGAAGAACAAAGGTGGGCATTGCCAGGAAAGCTTTATATTCGGCTCGGTAAAATGGCCGCAAGTGGATTCAATGACTCTATAAGCTGATTAAGGGCATTGCGAGTCCAGATTTTGTTACACGCATCCGTGTTACGACGCGAGAAGCACCATGACAAAGCCACAGATAATGCGACACAATGCACATGTACAGGCGAAACACCGTAGCACAGTAGGTCATGTTTGCCCAACGTCTGGGTTAAGGCTAATAGATAGGTTGGAGTTTCGCGCACTTTTTATTTAAGAGGCACTGAAAGAAAATTAATGTAGCTTGTATACAAGCTGTGTTCAGTTTAAAGTTTCAAATGGGAGGGGGGCACGGGAGCACACTCTTCTGGTGGGGGTACACCCAATCCCAACCCATGGGGATGGGGGATTGAAGGGAGCATGACTTGCATGCGGCCATGGAAATTTGAATGGGGGGCGCTGATACCATATACGTGTAATGATTTTATCTGTCTTATTTCTTCAGATCCAAGAGCACGCATTCAGTGCCAATTAGGGCCTACATTAAGTGACAATTAAGAAAACAGTGAAGAAATGTTCAGTTTTAGAGGTGACAGGAAAACCCCAAATAAAGATTCCATGGAAATCCCAAAGAATCACGCTGGGACAGAAAACTCAAATACACTTGCTGACCCAGGTAGGATTCAGACCCGGGTTGCAGAGGTACCGGTACTACGCCAACCTGACACTAGAGGGCGAAGTTCATGATACGGATGTTCATCTGTAATAAAGCCTGAAAGTTGACCCCTTGTGACGAGTATCCGGGACCTTCAAATAGGAAATATAACGTTCACAATTTTAGAATTTGTCATATATTCCGTTGGCTTACTTCTTAAAAGTATAACCTCGGAAAATGACCCTCGTAAAAATATTTGGTAGCATATTAATTTATAGAAGCTGAATATTACCTGACCTGAAAGAGAAATATCCTGCCAAATTGTGACCCCTCACTTCCAAAAATCTAAAATACATGAAGACCAGTGCAATTTGGTGGTCTCGTACGTAGATGAAAAGTTACGAAATTCTATTTTATGGTAGTCTTTTGGTAAAGTTACTGAAAACAGATTAAAGATTTTTACATCTTTTACAATTTATAAGGAAATAAACTTAAAGGAATACTCTGCCTTTACGAAAGATTCTAAAGTTTAATCTAACCCATTACATGTACTGACAAGAACGGCGTCAGGTTTGCTCGACTGAATCTAGAACCCATCAAGTGGAAGTAAATCTTCACAATGTTGTACGCGAACAGGGAGACCTAGGACCGATATTGCCGGACGTTAGTGAATGTCGTTTTTCACCCATCTCCAGGAGACCCTCCCAAAATATTAATTGAGGAACACATAGGTAAAATTCGGACATACGTGTTTCATAGGATGGATTCAGTTAGGACTTATTGTTCCAAAATTATCCAACAATACAGGACGACCCCATGTAAAATCCCCATAGGAAGCTCGTGCGAGGGTTCTGTAAGCTCGCTGCTAACCTGCACTTTCAGGCTTTGGGCGTACATGTGTCAGTGTACACCCCTGCAGAACCTTACATCAACACGGCACACTTACGATTTTTTGTCATAATTATTTCCCCTTTATGAGTAATATTGAATATCATTTTAGTAGCTGAGAAGTCCAAAATATTCCTCACAGTCCACTTTATCTTTTTCACCGCGAAAAAGTGAGGGGTTGAATAACAGTCCATCATCCTGGTCAAAAAGTGGGGGATTTATACTCCCCGTCCCACGGGGTTTACGCCCATCCCTCCCTCAGTTGTGCCACAACTGAAGGGACCGAATAAGTAAAAAGGCCGGAATGACAAGTGACAACCTCGTCTTCAAAAAAGATTACGATATTTTATACGAGAAATAAGAGATATTTCATTAAAATATAACTCTCTAATATTGATGCAACAAAATAGCACTGATGTGATAAAACATTCACTCTTATGGTAAAACCAAAGGACATTTTCTTTCCAAAAGGGATGTCCTTTTATTCTCACATAATAAACAATTTTTGTGCATACTCAGCTGGAAGAAGCTCTCTTCCGTGGCCTTTCACTGCATTACTTTGATAATGTATTGATTTCAAAGAAATCATTCACTTTTCTTTCAGCTCCACTTAGCGGCAAAGCAGCCACAACACGATGCGGAAGTCGTCCTTTCGTTATGGCTGGTGGTGTCTGCAATCTTGCGGGGCTCCTTGTGTGCTCATCTTCAACATCCATTGGATTGTTATTTGTTGGTATGACGCTTCTTGGTGAGTGGGTTCCGTACAAATTAAATGGCACCCTTTTCGGTTTTCTTTGCGTTAAGAAAAGTGAAACTAATGCAAATAAACATTTACTGTTGGCAAAGTGTTTGGTAATTACGGTTTCTGTTGAAGGGATGTCTGTCATTTCGTTCTTTGCATCCCGCCGTCACTTGTTTGACAGTTTTCAATTTCTTTTTTGGCCGTAGTTCAATTATTAAACACACTTTTCACTAAACTCTCATTCCCTTGAAGTCTAACACTGGTTCCTTTATAAAAGCATTGACTGTTTATTTTAATTTTCACAGGCATTGGCTTTACGATGTCCTACGCACCGTTAATGATCACAGTAGTTATGTACTTCCCAACAAGGTTTGCATTGGCCAATGGCGTTTTAAGCACGGGAGCAGCCGTAGGCATGATGGTCATACCTCCTCTAGTGGAGCTTCTAATTAAAACATACGGCTGGCCGAATGCAATGGCTGTTCTTGCTGCCGTCAACTTCAATGTCACTGCTTGTGGAGCTTTGGTAAGGCCGCCCCTGGGGACGCACCAAAGACTCATCAATGCTGCAGATGAGGCTGACACATCGACAGATCCAAATCTACCACATATTTCGCTTCTCCGCTCCGTTGTCGTATTCCTAAAAGATATCCCCGAGAAACTCTCACTGGATATCTTTATATTGGCACCAGCCTACAGCGTCTACCTACTAATTTGGTTTTTGAATGGAGTAATTTTTAGTGCATGGCTGATCTACCTGATCCCACACGCTATATCGAAAGGAATTGATGCCCGTTTGGCAAGTTTCCTGGCGACAGCGGGCGGTATAGGCAACCTGGTTGTAAGAGTGGTTCACGGGCCGGCCATTGATCGAGGACTTATAACAGCACTCAAGCTGCTCATTCTGCTCTCTGTGCTTAACGCTATTGCCTTCTTCGTTGATATGGTGTCGTATGATTACTACCATGTACTGGTGATCCTGGCTATAGTAAATGGGGCCGCAGTTGGGATTATCGGTGTTGTCGTCATGCCAGTTGCTCAAGAAGTTTTGATCGAACCAGACCTTTCCGTTAAGGGATATCTGTTGTCTTTGCCGATCCTCGCTCTTGGTGAATTATGTGGCGGTGTATTTGCAGGTAAACAATGGAGTATTTTTAGTGATGTTAAGCTTACATAAACCTCATAATGATAAGCATTTGTGTCTCTTTCTCTCCATGGAGTTTTACAGCCTCTTCTGTGATGACAGTTAACCGGTAAGCTCGGGATGATGTTGATGTCTTTAAGTTGCAGATAATAGTTTCTGGTGCAAAAACATATACACGGTCATGCGTTCTCCTCAAGATTCTCAAAAAAGTCTGGTTCCAGCTAGACCCACTGGGGCACTGAAATTTTTTTCACTGTCGGTTGCGTATACAAATAGCCATTTGGAGGGCTTCCCGGTAAGCACTCCAGTGCAGTTGACAAGGACGCTGAAATCCAATCTGTCCTGTCAAATATATCTCTCCTGTCAAATGTACGCGTCCATAATGAGTGGACTGAGGAGACGACACGGTAAGAACTAAGTCAAAGTCTAAGGCCAGACGGTGTATCTCAGAGATACATGAGAACTGTGTATATGATGAAGTTATGCCTTAGTTCTTGGACACATCATTGATATTTAACGACAACCCTACTTTTAAAGTGATCACGTTTAAAATTTAATGGACAGTCAGGTGACCTTCTTCAAAACCTGTTTGACAACTACCGCAGTACAAGCCTAACAATCATATTTCAAACAATTTGGACTTTTGTTTATGTCATCTTTGAAGGCCTAAGGAATTAGGCTACCTTTGGGAGCTTTTTACACGACATGGCAAGGGAGGGAATGTAATAGACCAAAATCGCCTTTTTTCCTCATTTTTCCCTTTGGGGGAGGCTACTGGGGGATGATCCCCGTTTTCCCCCTCCCCTTGGATCCGCCTTTGCTTCCAGCTGTCCTTATACACGTAAGGAAAACATGTCGACTCTTTTCACAAGTGAAATCTTGTTATACTCCATCTCAAACTTTAACAAACCTGAACATCGAACTTTTCTTCAAAGATAGGATAACATCATTATTTAACGTCTCATTGTAACGCCGCCCGTTAAGGTTGCCCTGAAAAAATAGTCTGACAATGGCGGCCCACCCAAACACTCGACGCTTTCTCATATTTGAAGAATTGGCGCTTGTAATTGAAGGAAAGGAGGGTATTCTTTGGAGGCGCGCCCTCAAACACTGCGTAACACTGCAGCAGCTGGTCGATCCACTGATGAAACTTCATTGGTCTCGGCAAATCCGCCGGTCGCAGCGGATGTCGCTTGCGCATTTCGGCCGGGGTGCATGCCCAGGTCTAGCCGAGTGATGCAACAGAACGTGGCATATGATATAGGCCTAGTCAATTCTCTCTCGCACTGACATACAGGTTGGCAGTCCGCTGCAGCACCACCATATTTCGCTATTTTCCGCCCTCGGTTAAGACTGAGACTGGTACCCTTGTCCGGGTACAAGGATTCTCCAGATTTTGCTGGCTGCAGATGAATCTCGACACGAATCACTGCAGAAATGCATCGATAATACCATTTCGTGAAACTCTCTCCACGATAGCTGAACACCAACTACAATCAATATCTGACAAGAGTTGCACAAATTAGATAAACATATTTCTTATGCGTCGACAGTTTCAAATCGTGTTTAGGAGTCAGGACGAATCCTGCCCCCCCCGGCAAGATAGCATTACCATCAGATCAGATGAATAGGGCACAAGACCTTATCTACCTAGTGGAAAGTAAGGGCAACAATGTAGGACAATACCTTAACGCCAGGAAAAACAAAATATGATGTGAAACACCAAGGATCATCATTATCCGTTGCTCTTCTTCGGGTGCGAAGGACTGTTCTACCGTTTGCAACGCTCTAATAGTACATCAAAAATCCATCAAGAATCATACAATCTTAAGCTGAGTCACAGTTGCCTCTTCAGTGAACTGCAATAAAACATTCCTTTGTCACTTTTCACCCGGTTGTCTTTTCAGGGAGACACAAATGTACAAAGAATTTAGATTAACTGGGATCGTAAAAACCGGCGTGTTTTTCTTATTTCCTGTACATGAATGCATGTGTGTAAGTCCGATAACTGTAGATTGTATGTTTTGTTTTTGCTTCTAGGTGCGTTTTACGAGATGATCGGGAATTACAATTTGGCTTTCGTCTCCCTAGGGGGCTTATCAACAGTCATCGCCATTGCCATTATTGCAGAACGAACTTATGCAGTCTGGTCTAAATGAGTATACTATGACGAACTCACAGCGTTGATTTAGGTATTTCTATATGTCAGCAGTTTAATTATTTAATTATGTTATGGTGACATGGTCTTACGGTTACCGCAAGGCTTTGTCACAGAGAAATTGTCTAAAAGTGTCAGGACATTCTTGTCATTGACAATGGCAATGTATTCATATTTGAGGGTGGAGCTAATGTATTCATTCATTCTCAGTAACGCTGTACTGTTTGCACATTCCATAATTCGGAAATGAATCGATCCGGCTGAGCATGTAGAATCTTTCACATGTTAATCTTAATCATGCAAGTTAGCTTTTGGTTAAGTGTTTCCTTATTAGCTGTGATGTGTTCCGATTGTGCTTTAAACATTACTGAATACCCTGAAGCTCACGTCACCAAAATAGCAACAAATTATTCAAGCAACTTATGAGCCTCAAGCTGAACCAAGAAAGGAGGCAATTTTCTTAACAACGAAGACTCCTTTGGTCGTCACTGGAGTTCGCTGGTTCACGAACGACTATGAAATGCCCGCGTTACTCTTGCATCGCTACCAACAAAATGAATACTCCCGACTAACATGGCTCCTTTCAACCGATAATGAGGTGCTTCTGCTCAAGGCTGATACTATTACATTGTGAATCTGTTCGGGTATCAACCCACATATAAACATTTTCTTATCGCTCTTGAATGAGATTTCATCCAAAAAAAATATGTAATACATTTTTAAGTTTAGAAATTGGCCTATAGAAAAAACAAAATCCTTGTTAGCCTACTTACGGCGCTACGCAGAAATGCTTTTATAATATTATAATGGATTACTTTGTGATGTTTCATTAACTTTTTTAAAGTTATCAATTTTACATTTCTGTCATAACAATCTCAGACATTAAATATGAATACATGTAATATCATCGAAAACTGTAACCACCAACTTCATCACATCTGTCTCGTATAATATAATGTTAATTTTGAAAATTTTGAACTGCACGAATTTCACATACTTGATGAAACATTAAATATGAGGCAATCACATTGTGTTACTTTTTATTGATCGTAATATTTTCTTCTCAAGTCTTTACTCTGTTTCAACACTTTTGATGTAGTAATGACTAGATGGTTGAAAAATTAGTATTTGAGGCTGTGATTTTTGAAAGGGAAATTATGCAACATATCAAAACAACAAGAGTGATACGTACATTTTGAACAAGAACTGGACCTAAAAAAAGTTTTCTGGACATCGTATTATATTGTGGTGTGTTAAAGATTTTGCCGTTCGAATTATTCTCTTTTGGACATCAGCAAAACCTCCTATAGTTCCACAGTAGTCAGCTCTAGATAGCAATGTTGCGAAGAAAGGCTGGGTTTATTGCCATGCCGATGTCACACGATCAGAAATAAAACCACTGAGAGTCGCGAGGTGCCAAATTACGGACACGCTCAGTGGTATCATTCGCGATGACATATTCATCACCACTGGAAAGAAGGATTTAAATTACAGGTGGCGTAAACAATGGTCCAAAATTAAATGTGGTATTATCGATAATTATTTGTACAATAAGGAGATATTGTATCATTGGACAGCAAGACGACTATGTGCACTATTTCGGGCAGCAGATTCAGATCTGAATATCTATGAGGGAATGAATTTGAAAGCAACCCAGGCAGGGCAGATCCCCACATTAACAAAGCCACTATCCATGGGGCCATCAGCAACTGACTAAAATCAACAAATCACTTGGCCAACTGTCAAATATTTATAATCCACAAAATAGGTAGACCCTCTTGAAAACTTTGGCACCTGACGACTGCGGATGAAATCTTTGCCACATTAAAGACTGTCGACTCACTTTACCATTTTTATTGAGTGCTGCGTTTGTCAAAATCCGTTCAGTGGGCTGGAAATCTATCAAGTATGCTGCATGAGGCGTCTCTCGGACACGACTTTATGAATGGTATCGTGGGTTGAATGATTTGTGAGGTCATCTTTCGTTCAGCTTGCTTTGTCACACTCATTCATCACGAGAAACTAAGAATGCCTCCGTATTGTGTTTGTTACTGCACAGGAGACGGCTGTAAGGATAACACTATGTCAGCGTAATCAAATGGCAGGTTGACAACTAAGGGCAATGCCTCAGACAGACAAAGGGGGACATGTACTACACTTTAAAAGTTGGGGGAGCGGTGATGTTTTATTGTGTGTACTTTTCTCTCTTTTTAGATTTATTGGAGGGGACAAAGTTCAAATATGGGTATGACTGGGTCTCAACTTATGACATTTTGTTGCATTATGAAGGAGTAGGATCTGCTGACGTTACAGAGGTAGTTTTCCCTTTACAACTGGCTGCTAACATGAGTTGGCCGTCGGTACAAAAATAAAAGAACAATTCGCCCAGTGTTAAAATATTACGCAGTTATCAGAACAGCAGATAATAAGACACCTACTACTAAATACTTCATGAAAATACAACACTATTTAATTAAAATTAATGAGATATATGCTCATTTAAACGAATTGAGGTAAAATCGGAAGCCAACCAAAAGGTAAGGAGGGGGAATCCCATCTTATTTTGCATGTGCCTAACCCCCTGGATCTGCGCTTGGTTGAGGCTGAAGATAACGAGCTTTCTATTAGGTGTATTTTTGATGGCGGTTCAAACTATCATCAAAGGTTGAAATGTATGGTCTATGCTCGTTCACCCTGAAGGTGAACGAGCCCGCCCGGAAAACTCCCTTCCAGCTCGTCTCTTCGTCTTCGCTGAGGAAGCGCCCAAATGTTGGGGCCGCGGATAAACACGTGCCTCCTTTGTATCGTTTTGGTTGATAAAATGAAAGGGTTCTGTGAGCCTAGCACTAACATTCTTCTGGTTAAAAAGAGGCATATGCAAAACATATTAAAGAATTGTTTCTGAATACTTGGTCGCTCAGTGAATCTTTCCCATCCCATTCCACCCCGATATTCTGATGTAACATTTGCTGATTTACTGATGTAAAATAAATCTACACCCATGCACCACTGGAGAATTTTAATCCATTTGAGCACTGAACGGAAAATAACCCTGAGAAAAATTAGTAGACTGTATTAAAAGAGCACCTCTGAGAAAAACATGTTTTCTCTGATTTTATCTGTTCAAATAAATGTGGAAGCATCCAAATCGAACGCAGCGTGATATGTCTTCAGAGCTCAACTATAACAAGCTTAAAAGTTTTTTTCTGTTCATGCCTAGATAGTCAATGTAGACTGCGTCATTCGGAGAAAACAAGGGGAGCCCTCGCTTTGTGGTCGTAGTGAATAAACCGTTGTCCATGCCAAACAATGCAGATAGCCATTATATGGCGTTCGGTGCAAGTGCTTATCCACTACGAACACAGGGCGAAGGTTCCTGTTGTTTTCTGTTTTCTCCGAATGACGCAAGCTACTTTCAGAATTCGCGTCTTGGCATGAACAGAAAAACTTTTAAGCTTGTTATAATTGAGCTCTGAAGACAAATGACACTAAGTTTGATTTGGATGCTTCCATATTAATTTGAACAGATAATCAAAGAAAACATGTTTTACTTTAATAGAGGAGCTCTTTTAAAAAACGGCAATCTTCAAGTGGTCCCTGGCACTCGTATTGCTTCCACCATACGCACATAATTACACATAAAGAGGCCATGGCCTCTTTGATTATGTGTAATTAATCATTTGTTCGAGCTGTTTCAAGGGTGGAAGTTCAATGTGACTTGGCTGCAAATGTACCAATAATAAGATGGAGCATGCAATTGCGTCGGGGAGATGTTTTTGTCCTGAGTTTTGCCTGTGACTGATGTATTTCTCTCTGGAAATTCTGCGAGAACACTGTACGCACTAGCGCACTGTCATGAATTGAAGCAAGTTACCAAAGGAAACAAAATTTACAACAGCAAAATGGTCAATTGTACAGCAGAAGTAGCTGAAACATTTAGATCTCTGTCGTAGATGACATACATTTGCTCATAAAGTTGCAAATTCGCATTCTTGCACTAAAATAAAAAGCGCCAAAATGCCCTTCAAATCAGCATAATAAAATTGAGATTATATCTGTCAGATGAACGGAGTATTTACAAGAACTACATTGAGAAGTTGCAGCGCATGAGCCTTTTAAACGTCTGCCAAAGACCAAAGACTCAAATCTGACATTTCATTACACACAAACATTTGTTTGAAGTCTCTACTACAATACTGTTAGATAGTTTAAGGACAGCTGGACCTAAAATCATGAAACTATAGAACATTACTACTACGTACTTAACAGATGTTTTACATTTAGAAACACCAAACACTAATTGAAAAGATTTGGCGAGGCACCAATAAAATTAAAATAGATGAATATCCACACATCGCGCTCATTTATTAATCATGAATTCCTCGGAAATTCTGTCCGTTTGTTCGTGAAATTGTGGGGGGAGTCAAGCAATATTCTCACTGGGTCCATTAGTCCCACTGCCTGGGTTCAATTCCTCCGGTTGTTCCTGATATTCCCCGTTGGAGTATGATAGTGCGAGGGACACTCGTCCATCGGCCGCTGTGGTGTTTTGCAAGGCCTGCAGGACAGATAGTCCAAGCTCTTCCACAGGAGCTAACCGTTTCCTGGACTCGTTTTCAGTATCCACTACGAGAACAATGAATCGGTAGATCTGCATGATCACCAATAGAAGGTTCTTCACCTGGATATGCAAAGAGGATGAAAAGTGAAAGTTGTACGCAAGCTCAAAGAAAATGCACTAGGTCTTATCAAAAATGAAGACTGCTTAGCGCTCGAATTTGACGAAAGGGGACGCTATGCTTTTTTAATTTCAAACGATCGCAGAGAGTCGAAAGTTACACGTCAGGACCCTAGAGTATTTATTTTCTGATGGGTTAGTTTACTTTCATTCGTTTTGTTTTTCAAGACATTTTCCTGTGTCAAAGCTTTTGAAAATCCAGCCTGGCAGCCTCGAGTCAAACGGAAAGTGGACAGGGTTTTGCCATTTGTTTCACGAGATGGTGTTTGTAGCTATGATTATTACAAGGGCTTTCCGTTGTTTTTAGACGAAGCGCAAAGGAAATCAGCGAAAAAAATCAAAGCTGTCATTTCATTACATCAAGAATATAACTGTATATGAATACGCCAGATGTGTTCAAGATGCAGTCAGGTGAATCATGACGTATCTTAATGATTGCAATGGTTTACTTTGCAAACGTTTTAGGCCCACAAAAAGCATGTGCAGTAGTTTGCTCATAAAGTTACCACACTTTCCAAGATGGTTAGGGTGACTACAGAGAAGAGAATATTTGTGGTGACTCAGTACGCTCGTACCCAAAAATTATTCAAAGAAAGGTATCCTGACCATGGTCCTTCAGCCAACCATTTAGATATTATGTACTGATACACCTGACTGCATTGTGAACACATTTGGCCTATTCATTACAAACATTTCAATGGAGAGAGGGAGAATTGAATAGGATTTATGCTGGCGTTTCAACTGAAACTTGGTCCCAAACCCTCTTTGTCTCAACAAAAAAGAATGACTGTTAAGCCATTCATGGCCATGTGTGAACAAGTGACATATTATCGTTGGGAAAAGGGAATCTGTGACTTTAAGGTGCCACTGGGTATTTTGGTGTAAAACTAACACATTTTTAAAAAATCAACATAAATTTATTGCGTTTTTTCGTTTTTTTATGATTACTGCAACGACCTTCAGCTGTAGTTTGATGAAGAACACTTCAGAAAACTTTTCTTGGATGTTGAAACCCGCTATAGGTCACGCGACTTACTGGGTGTAATCGGTCTATTAATTAATTAACCTTCCTTACGTAATGTACTCTTGTGAGCACAAGATTGGGCAGAGATTGTCCACCCACTCACCGCGAAGAAAATGAGAATGTTATCGGTGATTTGGTACTCGATGATGACATAGGTACGGATAACCAGGTATGGACCGTCTTGGAGTATCACATCTGTCAACAGTGCCCAGATCTCGGACCCACACAGGTAGGAGGCACAGTTGACTGGCGGCCCGTCGAGAGCACGGTCTATCACCTTGCTTATCAGAAGCCTAGATCGCTGTGTAGCCACGGCCTGGCCAAACGAGAACTGCAGCAGTGACCAGGACCAGACGGCCAAGATGGCGATGAAGATAAGCCGCTCGCATGCGATCTCCGGTTGACGCAGGGTCTCAGTGGAGAACTCCAGCATGTCGGCAGCCATGCCAACGTAGACGAGGAGAAGTTGGGATAGCTCATTCCTGGTCATACCACCTTTAGGCAACAACCATCGGCCCAAGATCAGTACGATCATGAAGGACTGCTGAAACAGCGCCGAGAACGTCTGCCCAAAGTTGTACCGATCCTGCCAACGGGAAACGGTTCAATGGTAACAGGGCAAAAACTGCAAAACTGTGGTTTGAAATGAAATGTGCACACTGAATTGGAAACTGCACTAGGATTGTGCTCTTCTGGGCAATGAACGTTAAAAGGCGACGCCCACGAGTGTAACCATCGTTTCCCATAGGCCTACTGCTTGGCCAACATTTAAAAGTACAGACATCCACAAAAATCAACAATGTGATAGGATACTGTTTTCGAGCATCTAAAATGAAAAACTATCGTAGTCTTCTTGATTATGTATGCGACTGAGTTGTTAGATCGACGCACGAAATCCTTTCGAGACACCCGGAAAACTTTGTCAGATGTGGGTTGGATACATGGGCGTTGCTTGCGGGGTGCACGGGGGCGCTTTCCCCCTCCCCAAATTGAAATGTAAAAAAGGAAATGTAGAAAGGGGAGAAAGCAACAGAAAATATGGATAAATAGATAACGGAGATGGAAATTCGTTTAAAAAACCCTCCAAAATTGGCCCCCTCCCGCTGTTAATTGTTTATTACTACTGTACTTAGCTGATGAGTACCAGTACTCTGCCTCTTCCTAGCAATGCCCTTCCCAGAAAAACAGTGGTTATATCCCTACCCCGCCATCCCAATCCCCCTCCCCTTTTTCCTGACGACACCATGGATGTATGCATATAGCCTCAGAATCATTATTGTGGAGTAACAAGGAATATCAGCATGGGTCTACCTACCAGCTGTTCCTGGGTCACGCCTCTCACTTCATCATCGAAGACGTGTTTACAAGACGAATCGATCTCCTCCAGAATGATGAATCGACTCGGACAACTTCCGCTGCCCGTCACGTTGAGGGCCACTCGGAAGTCTAGCAGGTCGAGCTCCGTGATCCAAATCACGGGTACGACCATGACGAGGTATATCACCACGACTGGGACAAACCTTGGTGAGATTCAAGGTCGGACATTGTTTGTTATCGAGAGGCTGTGGTGTCATGTCATGCCGTCAAACCGGTCAGTGGCGTATGTGAGTCTTGGGTCCCGGGGGAAACAAAGTGGGAATTTCTTAACGACTGTCCAAATTTTTCATCCATAAAAGAAACTCTACCAAAAGACAGGTGGTTTAGGCCCCCTGTTGCTTCTAAAATACTGGTGCATTCAGATCTTTAAAATGGCAACAGCATACCCCCCGCCAACTGAGACCGATTTGTTACTGGATTATAACTTGGGGGTGCAACAAATGACATTTGATGACCATATTACTTCTTTCAGATACGCCTTTTCGATCTGTTTGAAATTGAAGGTAATTCTCCTGCGCTTTCCACCTCTGTTCTAAGAAATTTGCTTCGTGTCCCTGGTTCAAAAATCCTAAAATTGTCAGGAAAGAATCAATTCGAAGGATCTGACCTGCAAACAATATTTCATTCAAAAGAGTAACCACACCCACATCTATTTTAAAGTCATGAAGCATAACGCTTACTCGCAGCATACAGAATTAAAATGTGCGTCAAATTATCAATGCGCACGTTTACATGTCCTTAGAATTGTCCGCCAACTCTAAATATCTCTTCTGGGGTGACGAAGTAAATTGATTAAACCTAAAAACGAGTATCATATTTTGCTGTCTGTCTACTTTTGGATATCTGTCAGCGAATGTAAAAAAGTGTATATGATGAAAACACCAGACGTAATCACGTAATTATAAATAGGAAAATGCTTTCATATCCGGGAAAGACGTCTCACCATCTCCATTCGCCCTTCTCGTTATATCGTACCGTTGTGCCCAATTCAAACACGAAGAGCAATACACCAAGGGCCACGACGAGAAAGAGTGGTTGCTGGGTGTAATACACGAGAATGACGGCCCCACCTAGGCCGTGGAATAAGAAGGCCGCTCGCACCAAGCTCGCCTCAACAAACTTGCGAAGAATCATGACTGGAACTTCTGACTACAGTTGGCGACAGTGTTCATGAGTCTGGCTGCTGAAAAGTTTCACAACAGTGACTGACGACTTTTTCTGTGTAAATGCTTATTATGCAGTGAGAGAACACTGGTATTTGTGACGCATTATTCTGGGCTGCAGTCGAATAAACACGGTACTGCATTCCAGGTCGATCCCCATGGCTATGCATATCCGCTTCCTTGAAATTACAGTAATAACAACCAACTTGGGTTACCGTGACAATCGATGATAGTCCACTTTTCACATAGCGTCAGTGTTGCGATGTCAAACGAGTCTGCACGCGATGAACAGAGAATTATGCAGTAATGCCTGAACACTTTCACGTTATGCTCATTGTGTTAGTTGACCCGCAAATCGAAATCTTTTGTGTACATTTTCGGAGAAGTGGACCTGACAGTGTGTGTAAAGATCGGAATAGGTTTGACCATTTCGTGCCAGATTCATTGGGTATATAATCCAGGATATATACCCTTGGCGAACTGAACCGATTCCGCGACTTTTTTTTTTACCATGAGTGCGCTCTGGTGGGCACCGGTACAAAAGCAAATGAATAATTCACTTGTTCAGGTATCAAAACACCAAATAATAAACGCCACTAACACAGCCCTCCTGAAGAGTGACAGGTCAAATGCACAACACAGGGCAAACTCTGACACCAACAAAGGCTGATATTTCAACAATCCTTGGCCATCCGTAGAAAAGTAGGCAATGTGAGAGCTTATGTTGTAAACAGCACATAGCAACCCTTCTCTTGCAATGCCACACCAATTTTTTGTTGGCAAATAATATAGTTGTCACAATGATTTAACAGGTTCACTTAAAAAGTAATTAAAACACCAAGCAAACGAGACAATACTTCAAAATCTTAACTGACAATAACGCCATGGTCAACCCCACTATTAGGGCAAAATGCATTTTAAGGCAATAACTGATAGTAACCAATGGTGAACTTTCAGCAACTTTGGGTCCTAGGCAATGGTTTTAAAATTAAACAATAGACAGCTTTCTTCGAGGGTAGCTGTTGCTTTCTCAAAGCACTGCCAAGGTTGTACCGTCGGCTATTTGAGTCGGCAGAAAACATTTTTGTATTTTTTCGAAAATAAAGGCCATTCCCGCGGGAAAGAGTTTTTTTTTTGTTATTCCCCGTTTCAGGTTTTTGATTTCTTGTTTCGTGTTGCCTGGGAGTCAGCTGTGCGTCAAAATTTTCATGAAATGATGCCCAAAGGCATGGCGCCACTTTAGTGCTAACGAATACTCGTCAGCGTTTGTGCTTTGTACAACTTGACAAATATCGTAGTGGAAATAACACCTGGAACATATTTTGAACTCGTGTCTGTATATATATTCATGCTCTCTCGTTTCATGGTGTTCGGGCCTGTATCTTTGGGAACATGTTGCATGCATGGATCACCTGTGATCAGCGTTCAGGACCCTGAACACAAACATGACAGGTTTCAAATTCAGTTATTTTAAGAGAACGTTGTTGTTTGTGTTTATGAATTAATCATCGTTAGAATCACACACAGACAATTCTATTCAGGCTATGTTATTTCCGACAAAATTTCCAAAATCTGAATTTAAAAATGCTTGAGAAAACATGTCGTTGGTTACCATAGTGCACTGAAACCGCTGTTACGATATGTAACTTTGATCAACGTAGCTAACCCAAGGGCATTTACAGTTGCGGCGGGTGCTCAACTCTTAATGAATAACGCGGTATACCGACGGGTAGGGGGATGCGAGCATTGATCCATCGAAGAAATCACAGAAGTGCGAATATACAGTGTGCTGGAGGTCAGTGGTTGTCTCTTGTTCAAAGAGTCAGAAGAACAAGGGGCGGTGCAGAGAACTATGTGACACTGAATCCATTGACCGCCATGGAAGCCACTCAGTCAAACGTATTCGTCCAATTGAGGGGTTTAATAGTAGGGTGCCAGACCTTGGAATACACTGCAGTGCACAGTAGTTCTCCCCGCTCAAACAAGTAGCTTTTTCTTCCCTACCACTGCATTGTGGGCGACAAAAGTTTGTAGAAGGTTCAATAGCAAACAGACAACAATCTTTGTCTCAAAATGCTCACTTTTTCTTGCAGTGTTAAAGAGAGAGGTAATTTTAATTTATATAAAATGGAAGTATTCATTGTGTACAGTTTTTGAGAGTTGCATGAAAGTTTTCAGTTTAATTATTTGCTTTTTGCTGTTGGTCAGCTATGGTTTGCCAACAACGTTGGGAGAGGAAAAACATCAACAGAACATGCGTCAAAAGATAACGCGCGTAATTCGTTTGATTGGACTTCACAGCCACATGTGACTTTCTGCGCCACTACCACTCTCTCAGCTTTTACCCTTCTGTCAAATTCGAGGGCTACACTGGGATGGGTGGAGTTAGGAAAAGACGACTTGGGTTCCCCGTTCGTCTACTGCTCATGTCCAATCACTTCTTATTATGAGCATTTCATTGAAATTAAACTGGCCGCCCTCCACGAGGACAACATCCACGTTTTACACTCAGGAAAAAATACCGGTAGAAGATTTCTTATTAAACATTTTATAGAAGCGATTCGAGCTCATATCACCCAAGAATCGTTTCCAGAAGCCGACTTTACAGACATAAGAAGATTTAGAAACAAATTTTCAAATCTTTAGACAATGAAAGAGAAACTCTGCTTTCAAAAATTGAGAATTACGAGGGTCGCGGCTCTGGATTGGTTTTAGATTCGATATAAGCCTTTAATATAAGCGTTACTATTTATTGGCCGTTTTAGAGAAAATTCTTGCATTATTTTACCCGAATTACTCGAAAAATAAAAAAATCGTTAACATTCAAAATGAGCTGCCTCAAACATTTACACTCCCGAAATTGACGAGAGAATGGAAGCTTATCCAAAGTACCAAGTTCGTACAAAAAGGACAACGTACAACACTGATGATCAATTAAATTTAATTAAAGATATTGATTGTCCTGCAGATCAAGTGGATAAAATAAAAAATGAAAGCGACTTGACAAATGGTGTCTTTAGCTACAACTCGAAGGACAAGGTTTTCCCGCTTTGTGTAAAAACAACAATCAGGGAGCGAACCCATACGTTACTTTTATGGAGAGCGCTTGTGGTAACACCACGAGGATAGATCTCTTTTTGGAAGAGGTATGGTCCTGATAACCGATGAGTAAGTACTCGACGATTCGACCAACCTACCCCGTCCCCACCTCCAACCAACCCCACCCAGTCTACCACCAGTCCGGTACACCAGGAATCTTTATCAAGCGCCAGTGCATCAACATCTGCTACCTCGCATCACCGACCCCGCAGCCAAGCATCCGTCTCACGCCTCAGTGCTCCGTGGACGCAAGCTAATTCCCGCTCAGCCCTTATACGCCAGCACTCCACCAACACTCCACTCATGAGAACAACCAGGGCACACTAGTCGAAACGTCGAGTACACAATTAATGTAAACATACCTCCTCCAAAAAAAAGATCTATCCACAGGGTGTTACCACCAGAACTCTCTTTCATTTGGTTTCAAACATGCTACAAAGACACCAGATCAAAGACTTCTATGTTGAAGTATTTGTTGTTTTAAAATAGTCCTTTAGGACTGATTCACAGATTGTCTATGAAAATTAGTTAAAACCATTAAAACATCATCATATAAGTATCACAGCACAACGATTATATTACTTTTGTCTCGACATAATAAAGTTATGCCATAAAATAAAAGTTCTACTGTATTTTCTTTGCTTTAAAATTGCAAAATAGAGTATATTTATGTTTCAAAAGTTGGACGGATTTCAATAATAATCTTTACAGCAATCACTAACACTAAGTCCGAAATCACATATAAGTTGGCATAACTATAAGTACGATATTAACTATTCTTCCCTAAGCTAAAGTACACATCAGGGTCACGTCAAGTTCACAAACCAACAAAACACAACCCTCCAACCTTTGGACTTATACTGCCGCATTAGTAGTTCTAGACAGCTTTTGAAATTCAAAACGCCACATCCTCTACACACCAGTCTCTTTCTAAACACTACCGTTTAGCAATGAGCGTCTGAACGCAGAGCACTTAGCATCATCCTTCACCACTCTGTCACACTACGCCGATGTTAGCATGTGCTGCTTGAACCTCAACTCCCACTTTCGCCATACTCCCCTCAGGCAGAGTCTCAACAATCGCAACGTAAGGCTGATGCCATTGTCTCAACCCTTTGCAAATACACCCCTGGTTGGGTGCAGTTTACTGTGTCCCTCCCACAACTGATTTGGAAATGCACGCTTGCTTTGACAATCAAAATATCTAGAATTCAATTTCACCTCGCTGCAAAACAATCTGCGTGCCTGTAGTGCTGAAATAAAAGCAAAATCAAACATTGCTCAACATTTCTCTTTCATTCCACATTATGGCATTACTGACCTTCGAAAACCACCCGAAATAATCCACTTAAAAATCCCCTATTGTGCATGTGGGTAAACTTGCCAAAAGCTTTACCTATACAAAGCTTAACCATGAACCACTTACAGGTAACCCAGTAAGATGCCCGTTCTTGATATTCACAGCCCACTTCACTCTTTTGTTAACACTCTGGTACCAGCCTCGTTCCCAAGGGCTCTTCATCTACTGATTCTATAAGGTAACCATTACCAGCGCCCTGCAGCGGGTGGTGAGTTTGCATGTCACTGCCTGAAATTTTGCAGACATGTCATTAATCAAAGGTCTAAATCCACAGAGAAAGAAGCTGTTGTTTTCAGTTTTTGAGCTGGAACTTTGAAAAGACATCACATTTAAACCTTTCCCCAAAGATTGCCGCCGTTTTTTTCACCACCTCACAAACTTCAATCCTAAAAGAGGTAGGGGTGGATTCTGGCAATCCCCCCATTCGACACTTTTTTCTGGTATTGCTGCAGTAAAAATTTTTTTCACGAGCTGAGCCTTTCAGAGGTTTCCAGCAACTCTTTGTGATCATTATCACATCAATATTCTGCAAAGTGAACATCCTGTTATATATATAACACCCATTTTTCTGAGACAGGTCAGCTAAGGAAGGACACTTTTCCACTGCTGTGTTCAATGCACAGGGATTAGCACGCTTGTGGCTTTGAACTTCACAACAAAACCTCATGTCAGACTGATAAGGAGTGTCTTTTATATGCATGTTAAAGTTTTTCAAAAATCAGCCCTGAGGCAGCAGAGTTCTGGAGGGAATCCATCCCAGCCCCGACTGTGAGATGGTCTAACATACCCCGGCTTATTAGGGTTGACCGACCCCACCACATACTGTACGACACTGAGAAATCCATACATATCACACTTGAACACAGATGCATACACATACATAGCTATACCAATGCTGAGTTTACATAACAAGTACAACCACTTCTACCTTAAAAGGGAGCTAAGCAATAGCAGGTCTTCTTGGCTCATGTCTGCACTCCTTCAGAAGAGTAAAGACACTTAGTGCAAACTGCTAATTTAAACAGCATCAAAGACAACATTTTAGATATCTTTTCCGTCACTTACGCAACCACAAATTACGCAAATGTACCACTTGATTTTTCCAAAAGGACAAAAAAAAACTCTCGCCTGTCGTCATCCCGTGTCATCATGTTACTGCATGAAATCTTTCAACTTGGCCATAGCTGTCTTGGTGGCTCGAATGGTTGGGTGGTCCCCCTCAAGAAACAACTCGCACACGCGCAGGGCTTCGTCAAACTGGTACTTGGCACGCTGGTACATGTTGGTGGCCAGGAAGTACAGCCCGAGATTGTACCTGGAACATGAAAAAAGCCAAAAGCCAAAAGCTGTGATCCATTGGGGCCACTGTTACAGACAGAAATTGGTAATTTGCCCTACTAATGTAAAGGTTGGCAAACATCAGATGGTTTCAAAGAAAAGATGGCCACAACTGCTCACAGGTAATAAATGGTTTCACTGTTTGCAATGCCTCCAAATTCTCATTTTCTCCAAACGAAAACCGAAAGGTCTCTTTCTTGGAAAAACAGTCTTCAAACAAAAATTTAATCAGTCCTTCCAAAAACCAAAAACTGAATAAATGGAGATGCTTTACCCCTTTAAAACCTCTTGTATGGAACATGAGATGTTGTCTTTGACTACTCTTCACAGAATAAGCTCTGTACTTGCACCATTTTTGAATAAGGTCTACAGATCAACCCCCCACCCAACACACAAGCCCATACCTACCTGACGGTAGCCACATCTACATGATCTTTCCCATATGCCTCGATAAGGATCCCTAGCACGGCCTGGAACACCTCGCCAGCCATCTTGTCATTCATGTCATCTAGCACCAGGCCGCAGTTGTTAAGGATGGCCGCCACACGGGGGTGGTTCAGCCCTACGTCGCTCTGGGTCAGCTTCAGGTCCCAGAGATGGAGCAGCATGGCGTTGTCCAGCTTGCTCTGGCTGTAATACAGCTGGCCAATCTGGTAAGACAAAAAAACAGAAACCACAATGACTTATATTTATAAAAATGACAGTGACTGGTACTTCCAATGCAGTCATCTCGCTTCTGTTACTGCATTTTCTCAAAGTAGGTTACCAGTTACACTCGGTTAGGTCAAACCTTTGAAGTGTGGCAAGCCATTTAAAAACCTTTGAACACTTCACGTGTCACCTACTTTGAGATTCTCACATACTTTATTCCAAAGGGGGGTTTTGACTGTAAGAAAGAGTTATCTTCATCTAATCATTAATCATTCCATGCTCTGTGCACCTTATTCTTCCCATTTATGACCTTATTTGTTTTCCACTAACAACTCTAGTTAACTTTTTTTGGGGGGGGGGAATTCTTGAACAAGATTTCCATCCGGTATGGTCACACATTACCAAAAAAAAGTAACGGGAGAGGTGGTCAGGTGAGGTAAGCAATGCACTTTTCCTGCATTCAGGTCCCTGCTTTGAATACCAGCAAATCACTTGTGCATTTGGGCGCTGCACATGGGGTGAAGGGGGTACCTGCCCCCCCTCCCCAGTAAGAAATCAAAAACCAAAATAAAAAGAAGGGGAAAAAAGGATGAAAAGGGATAAAAATCACCAATTTTCTTGAAATACCTCACAACTGACCCCTTCCACCAGTAATGGTTTATCAGTTTGCTGCTCCAGCCCTCTCCCCAGGAAATTTGCCCCCCTTCCCCTTGCAAAAGTGCCTTGCCCCCTCCCCGTCAGAAATCCTGGCGGCACCCATGCCTGAACAAAATGCCAGCTGTCGCCAACTGTTGTGCAAAGTGTGGAGTTTACTTTATCGATAACAGTGGATGAATGCATGAGAGCACACCTGGCCATTGATGGCAGCGACGTAATGGTGTTTAGGTCCGAGTACGTCGGTGGCCAACTCTTCAGCACGTCGAAGGAAACGGATGGCCTCATCAGCTTTCAATTGTAAAATCAACACAGACCTGAACGGAAACATTCTTCCTTTAGTCCATCAAATTTATCATGAGTTAACATCAGTAGGTGTAGGTGGAAAGACACCCAAAAAAATTCTGAGTGTCCCAAGAACGCAAGAATCTTTTCGTAAACATTGCCATCAACATATCAGATCATGACGAGCAATAAGACTAACCGCTGAAACTGTTTCTTTCATTTGCCACTGCTATTCCCAAATACAAATCCTACCCAAGTACAGCTCGTGTACAACAGTCTAATTGGGTCACTCTCATAACTGTACTTAAACCAAATCAAGGCAAATTAACGACCCTAATATACATCATGACCCATTTATATGCCAACCACCTCAAACGGGGTGCATTTCACTCACCCCATGCCCAGCAGCGCCTTAACTAGCTGCAGTTTCTGCTCCGGCGTCTTGATCATGTTCTGCCTCTCCAAAGCTTCATGGAAGTGCTTTCTGGCTTCATTGTGATCTCCTAGCTTGATGGAGACAGTCCCTAGAGATATCAGCACCTACCAGAAGAACCAGCAAACACTTCTTTACTTTGAGGGTTTACAGCTATGTCTCTTGCTGTTACATTTCTCTGAATACTACTAGTGTCTACAGACAGCACTCTGTGATGCAGTCAAGACCCTTAATGACCATCACAAGACCAAAAACGGACTTTGTGACTGCCACAGTGACAGGTCTTGTGAAGTGGTCTTGCCTCTGGTGTCATGATGGTCTCTACTACAACACTGAAAGCACAGCTGCTTCTAAGCCGTGACCTACACCGTGAACCCAATTAATCTTTATGGTGCAAGACTACCATCTGAGAGTGAAAGACTACCAGTGAAAAAGACCACTTCAGAGCTTGACGGTAAAGGAAAAACACATCAGTAGATTACGACTAAGAGAAGACAATTCCAAAGGTATTTGAACAAATGAACACCAATGGCGGGTGTTTTAAAACAGTAAAGTCTGTTGAATATTTGAAGAAAGTATTCAGTAATAGTACCTTTCAGGTACAATGTCATGTACAATGGCGACTTATTGGAAAGAATTGTTTTCCAACAGCTCAAACTGGTGAAGTCAGAATGTACAGATTGCCACAGAAGTACAACTGCAAATGTTTCAAACACCACTTCAACGTTTCCAAAGTTTCAACAGCAATATTTCAACAGGGAGCGTTTACTTCTAAGAGAAGAAGGCGCTTCCTTTGGACACAGCATACTATCACTCAACTTACATCTAGGACATCAGGATGGTTACATCTGGTCTTGTACTCGTACTTGGTGTGATGATACACAATGGTAGCATGGCTGCCTATATACCGGGCCTCTAGCTCTGATAGCAGTCGTTCATTCAAAAGCCTGTAGCAGGAAAAATCCACACCAGCAAGTCTATCTTCCATCATAAAATTAACTCTAAAATGCTGGAAATCTGTAGCTTTAACGTACTATGTCCTTTATAAGAAACTTCCAGAACTTTTGGCTTTTAATGTCCAATAAGCAATTCTGCAAACAAACCAACCAGTTTGTGCATAGAGACAAGCAGAAATTGTTGACATACTATCTCAGCCATATGAGCAGTTTCACCAGGTCAACACTTTGATAATGACTTGAGAAGAGATTGGCAAACAAACAAACAAACCAGGACTAGAATGAGCATGTTCAGTATTCCAACAGTGCATGTCCAAAAATGAAGCGTCCGGGAGATCATTGGGACACATGCGGAAGGTCTGTTCCATCAGTTCTGCCCTATACTGACTCTCGCAATGTGCTTTGTTCCCGAATGACCTTGCTTTTTTGTAATATTGGACCGGCTTGTTTATCTTCATCATTTCAGAGAAACAGTTTCAAACAGCAAGCATATTTCTACCAACTATTGGTTTTTCAGGCATTTCATCCAAGCAAGAACATGACTGTATCATCTGGGAAGAGTTCAGTCTGGTTATTATGAGATCCAGGCCATAAACAAACACCTACACCTCCATGGTTCCGTCACTGCGAATCCCTGTCAAGAACTAACTCAAGTCTGATCATACCTGGCCCCCTTGAGTAATCCGAGCTGTGTGAAGAAGCCAGCCATGGCTCGTATCAGCCCGTCCTTCAGTCTAGATTTCTCCCATTCCTCGGAGCGTGCCAAGACACCCAGGTAAGACTGTTCTACCTCCTCATAACCACCAAGCTGAGGGGAACATCATAAGCACATCCTCAAGTCACTCAAATGCAGTGCTTTGAAATTTCGATTTAGCGTCAGGGTTTAATTTGACTTAAGCGACAATATATGTTGGCTTCCTAACCAAGGTAGTCCATCGCACCTTCCTCCACCAAATGAAAAAACCATAAGGAAACATGCTCGAATAACTATCATGTTTGATTACAACTCGAGTGCCAGTTTGAAAAAAGCAGTTGTATTCTCAGCATTAACGGGTACATGACTGGAAATTTAAAATCACAAAGCACTCATGGCAATATTCGTTAAATTGGAACGTGTTCAAGTTTGCAAATATACAGCACTAACTTTTGCCTAGATCTTTAATACAAATTTACTTTCGCCTTAGCCAGCACTGACGGCACCTGACGTGGCTTTCTTTGAAATCCATCTCTCCACGCTCAGTGGGAAGCATGCAACACATTTTCGTTAATAGTGAGTAGAATTGACAGAGTAGACACTGAGAGGACTGTTCAAAGACTTACCAGCTGCCAGGACTTGATGAGTTGGAACTTGCCTTCCTCGGTGCTCATAAGCCGCTCAAAGACGGCCACGTTGAGGATGGTCGCTTGCAGCCGCTTGAACTCCTTGGCATGAGCCAGAAGGTGAGGAACCTCTTCCACCTGTTGAAAAGACCCAGGTGGGCACAGTCACAGATCAGTTCTTTTCAACGCTAAACAAGGTGGTGTGACGAGAAAATCAGTATTTGTGCCTTCTTCCATGTGAAGACTCTCACTGTCTGCATTCCTGTTGAGGTAATCAGTCAACAAGCCAAGGAGAGACCTCGAACAAATACCTCAAGTGCACTGGACGGTTCGTCACAGAAACTTGGTGAGGTGTAAGGTCATGGGAAGATAACGCCGCCATTCAGTCAAAGTTGGAGATGCCACAACTTGGACGACTCCTCACAGTCAACTTTTACGCCATGCAGTCGTATCATCATTTCGACTCAACTCAGTGTATGAGATTTTTTTGTTTTCTCAATAATTATGGACACAAGATCCCAAGCTGGGATAATGACCAAACTATAGGCATAATTACACCACATATGTTGAGAGTGTTTCCTATCTTGCGACCTACATAGATTCTCAATTTTAGCCCTAAAATTCCAAGGTGTAAGCGCAATACAAGGAGATTTCTGCAATAACGTAAACAATTAACATTTCTTATCCCCACCGATGAATGAAATGTACAAGTTCAGAGACATAACTGACAAAACTTGGTTTCTATCCCAAAGTTGGCTGCCGTGGTTACAGTTTAAGACAAACAGTGACAATGGGGCTCCCTTTAGGGTTGTGTTGACTTCTGCAAACCTAACAACTTCAAAATTGCACAGTCTATAAGGTTCGGCCAGTTCAGAGATATCTGTACAGACTCACATATCGGTCATCAATGTCCTGACTGTTGAACCAGTCAGCCAGAGCTAGGAATGCCTTCCGCTTCAGCTCCGGCGTGGACAGATACTTGCGCTCCACGGCCTGGCGGAGATGGTCATGGAAGAAGTTGAGGATGCCGTTGCGATTGACCAGATTCTCCTCCAAGGAGAGGTAGAAGGGGGACCAGACCTTGCTGGGAACCTGGGAGAAGCCAAAGTACGCAAGGCCGGTTACTAGACTTCTGAAATATACTCCACCCACATAGAGCTGTTTATATTGAGCTTCAGAAAAGTGCCTTTACAGAACATGCTTGCTTTGCCAATTTATTATGCTCTATTAAAAGCTAACTATGCCATTACCAAATCATAACATGAACGACTACTGAAGGAAACTAAGTTCGGTTTTTCAACAGTCATTGGTTTACAATCCTTTCATTATCCTGTCAACTGTAATGCTCATTTCCTGTCACATTACATAGCTAGGGTTCATACATGAATTAAATTCCATGACTTTCCATGACTATTCAATGAAAGAACAAATTTTCCATGACTTTCAAGGCTTGAAACACAAAAAGTAAAATTCAATGACTTTCCAGGTTTTCCATGACACCTACGAACCCTGATAGTCCCCTTGACTGGAATTTCCCAGCAAACCCGAATCATTCACAAAATTTTTCCGAGAAAGTAGGGCACCTCCCACCTTGTAAGTTTTACAGGATTTGCCTTACAGTCCTCTCTCCAAAAAAAAATTGGTCTCAAATGTGAAGCCAAGCTACATGTATTTAAGCTAAAATCCAAATCTTCTCTCTTTAAAATGTTAGATGTACGGGCTGAATTAGAAGAAGATGAAGTTGATGATCTTCCCAAAGCAGGGCATTAGATTAACAAAAATGAGAAGCTTTTTCTGATTTCCTTTCATAACCCTCTTGGGGAAACTGTTCATCCTTCCTCTGATGTAGTTCTTGACATCTTCCGTACTAACCTGCAGAAACTGCAGCAGCTCTTGCTCACTCAGACCACGATGAGAGCACCAGAGAGCAGTGGTGGCATCACGGACAAGCCCAGGCCTAGAAAATCAAAGACCACACAGCTGGTTAGGTAACCGACTATTCCTAGACATTTTGTTGCTGGCAAGGACTCTGAGTGTAGACTAAGGACTCTGGAAGAAACTTGTGCTCTCCATCATGCAGAGCATTTGTTTTTTTTATTTGGGTTTTTGGTTTTTATATCTGAGCATTCTGCTTCACCAACCCTTTGACTGGAATCTGGACTCCAGGTTTGAGCTGGACTTGAACAAAAATGGACTCGCACTTTCCTCAGACGAAAACCTAAGTGATTTGGCTTGCTTGGATGCAGATGACAGAACTCAATTACGGGACCAGGGTTGTGACCAATAAGCCAGTGCACATGTGTGTACCATTGGTTTATTTGTCTGTAAAATACACGAGAACAGTGCAAGTTGTGCTCAAGGCAACAGCAAAATAAGTGATGAAGATTTGGCATGAAACCAAAGTGCATCAGGTGACACTTGAGAAAAAGGTATAAAAGAGGGTTGGATGCCCCTTCACAGACAAGAAAAAGAAGAGTACAAGCTGGATACTTTCCAATCAAAATCAAACACTGCTGATGGGATTTACATACATCAACACAATTTAACATAAAATTTTATTAAAAAAATTAATATTTGAAAATCAGGGCACATATTGGTAATGAAACCAACTTTTAACACGCGAAACTTTCAACTGATTCTACATGATGCTGTGGCTATCTTGAATTTGTATTTAGACTTGGAAATATCTCTGTGTGACTAACCTCTCCACAATTCCTCGCTCAAAATCATCCTCAAAGCGGTCCAGGATTTTCACAAACAGTTCCCCAGGATTGCCCGCTGCCAAGTACTCCCGAATGGCCGTGGTCAGTTGGAAGAAATTGCCGTACATGCGAACCTGGCCACAAAACAACAACAGTTTGAACCAATTGCTAATATGCCACTCCAGAAATTCCACCAACACCGAGCATCACGGTTCTCCCTTTGAAATACAGCACTGCTATTAAACAGACCGTCTACTTTCCACTGAACTGAACACCAAACGAATGGCACTTGGCCCTTTTGAGTCACAAACATGAGCTGTTTTTACATGCAAATGAAGTGACTTCCTATAACATACATGTAACTATAGATTATGGCACAGGTGTGCATTCACTTAAGAATAGGACTGTGTCAGATGACCCTAAACACAATACGCTGCAATGATATGATGAGTGCGGAGTTGGATTCTAACATTATTCAAAGTCCAACTGAGTCCATTTAAAAATGACACATGTTCACGGCTCAACTTACTGGACACCATAAACTCAAAACAGTGAGTCTAAAGTAAACGAAAAATTAAATTTCAAGAATTCCACTATTCTAGAGAATTGAAAACAGAGGAGAAAGTTTGCAACGTTTTGGCTTTACCTCATCCAGCAGGGACTTGAGGTATAGAGGGTTATCTGTCTGCTTGGCATCGATGATCAACGATCGTTGTTCCTCATTCAGTGTCTTGCCATACAGGTTCAAGTAGCCGGTGACAATGTCTAATTTTTCGTTGATGTTGAGCGGATGGACTCTCATCGTTGGCCAGCCAGCAGCAGTCACGGCGTCCATTGCCTTGTTAAACAAAAGCAAAACAGAGACAATGTTTCAGTGACTTAAAAATCATGGCAAATTTGCCCCATGTTGACGTGCAGCCTCTCAGCCAAAGAGATAGACTAGAGGGAAGTTGTCGTGCATGCACCTGGCCAAAAATGTAAATTCAAACAGAAATTGGATGAATGTGCTCAGCACATCCCTCGCCAAGCGGGTGAGTGCACACTTAAAAGGAAGTACTGTTTTTAGAAGCAAACATGCCCTATCTTGTTCACGCAGTTGATAACTTTGGTTGACTGTATCTTTACTTGAAGGCTGCCTTGTTCAAAATTAGGATGTCTGACAACAGGATGTTGACAGAGTTTGTCCTGTTTGAGATAATCAGCTAACAGAGGTTGGTTCCGTCATTGGTTACCAACAGCCGTGTTTACCACAATGTCTAGTCAGGAACCAGGATCATGGTGACTCTTGACTACAACTTTTACCAACTTGGGACTTCTCACGAAGCTGCACCGCAGTTCAAAAGGTAACTTCACCTCAAACAGACAATTATGAGAACACAGTTCCAGAACATAGTTCCTACCACTTCACGATGTTCACTGAGGGGATTGGGTTTATTTCAAAGTATGTCCAAGGTACTACCAAGAGAGAAAACAAATGGAGATCAGACTCACCCTTCCTGGTAGAGTTGATGCAATCATGACAACATTCTTAGGCAATTCTTTTGGAATCCACGTCAGATCTTGCTCTTCGCCTGGGAAACAACAGCAATGAGTTTATGATTGTGAATGAAGGACTTAGTATGATGGCAGGGCAACCTACCACTTCCACATCATGAGTGGCCCTCAACCCAATGCAATGGGACACTAGACTGCACCTGCAGGGCTAGGGTTGGGTCTGCACCTGAGCATTCATGTTCCCTTAAAGAAAAGGTGAAATCAGTTGGGGGAAATCCTGGGACTTTGGGAACAACGTATTTATAAAATCTATGAACGTGCTGGGAAGACAAACTGCTGACTATTCTGAATGAATCTTTGAGGGTATGTACTACAGTGCTCTAACTACAGAGAAATTTCAAATTGTTTCCAATTCCAATTTCACATTGTTTAATCTTAATGACGCGTTAATTTCAAACCAACTCATATTCATGCTCAAGCAATTTTCTGCATCACTCAGGCATGAGATTTTTTAGCCCCCAAAAAACTCATGGGTTTGCCACAGTGTGGCATGTTGCCTCACCAGCCCCAGAGCCAGAGTCAAGCTGATTCAAAGCGTCCAGGACCAACACCACTCTGGCCTGCTTGCCGGCCATCTGAAGCCAGGTGGACAGCTCCAAGACAAGGTTTCGTTGTGATGAGGGTACTGTCATCTCGAAACCAAAGAACTGCTTGATCTCTTCATACAACCTGAGGGTTGAATCAACAAAGGGAATTCAGAAAAGATCAACAGAAAAGACTATAACCACCAGACTTAGAATCCTGAAATCCATGGAAGCTTTTTAGACTGAATCTGTCCCTATATCTTCAGTACTGAATGTCTCCAATTCCCGCAGTTTGGCACTGAACGTGAATGAAGTTCTCACAAAGTTTAAGCCAAAATTCAATGATCACTGACTGGATCTAAATCTGAATATTTGAACAATGCAGGTCAGATCACAGGCAAGACAGAATATTGGTCACATTTTTCCAACTAATTGGGAAGGAACCGTGCCACTCTCCTTAATAAGACCTTTAGAACTCACCGGCGCAGGAGGTTTAGATGAGATGCACTCTCTGCAGAGCTCCCAATGAAATGCATGAAGAGAAAGATGCCTGGATTTTCCTCCTCAAACTGGCGAGTCCAGTTTGCGACCAGCGCCGATTTCCCGGACCCAGACTCCCCAAGGATCACAAAGGGGGTGTTCACAAAGTCCTCCCCGCTTCGGGTGGCCTTCTGGACGTACGCGTTGATCTGTTGGATGTACTCCTGGCCTCCAATGTAGATGCGAAGGCGGGGCTCAGCGAAGGCCTGGTGAGCCTCCTGCTCACGCTGCAAAGCACTGAGCTCTGAGCCTGGTGGGAAATCCTGGTCAACGCACCAAACAAGATCCTTACGAATAGGGGAAAGACAAGCAGAAGCCAAGTGTTTAAACTCTTTCGATAGGCTTATGCACTGATAAATTTACATACATGAGTGATATTAGGTGATTAGAAAATGTTGTTCAGCAGCTCAAGCAGCATTGATCCTGGTTTCCACTCTTAGTGGTCAACTCGAGAGATCTACAGAGAGAACTGCCTCTTTACCTTTTTGATGAGCTCGCATCCTTCATTGGCAGCAGAGAATCGACGCAGGGGCATCCCTGAGGACTCCACCGTCTGCCTCAACTGCTGCTGCCGATCAAAATGCCACTGAGTCTCTTGCTTTTTCTTGGACTTCTTCTTCTCGTCTTCTGTGCTCTACGGAGTCACCAAAACCTTCAGCTTCAAACCATGATTCTGAACATCACATTAACAATTTCCAGCAAATTCCACAACACTTCTATGACCATTGCCATTCTAGAGCTTTAGGCTCATCTAAGCTTACCAAACCATAAGTTAACTTTTCACAAAGTGAGTTTATTTACTTTTGTGTGTATTTTCACCATCTTAAATCTCTTAACAATGACGACATTGGCTGAGGGTGTGATTCCGAACACCTGGTTAAAGCATACCCTTATAACTCACGTATAAAAAACCTAAACCTCATCCACTGGCTCACAATTAGCTTGCATGAACATGTACCTATGATTCTGAAAGCTGTCTGTATGGGTTTTCATATAAACGGCTCTAGTTCACAACAAATTTCTGATCTGATAGCTGATTGCCGATGTTGATGATTCACCTCATCCTTCTTGTCTGCATCGTTATCGGTGTCTCCTTTTTCATTCTCGCTCTTTTCTCCTGCTGCCGCCTCCTCCTTTTTCTCTTCCTCTTCCTCCTCTTCATCATCTGGAGGTGGGAGATCATCTCTGCTGATTCGAGGCTCACGGAGATAAAAGAACGTGCGTCCCTCGTTGGCCTCTGTGTCGTTCAGCGCCGCGTGCATTATCTCCAGCTACGAGGCCAAACACACAAGACACAATCTGGATTCACACCAAATCTCCATGTTCGTTACTGCAACAGTTCCGGGTAAAATTTTGGTTACTGTGTGTGGACACTACATGATAACCGTGTAATCAATCAATTTGGTTGATGAAGTGACACCTGGGTATGCACACACTGTGAACACCGACACACTTTCCAAAAACTTTACGTTTACGAACTTCAAATAAACACAACAGCAGGCATCATTTCTTTGGTGTGGATTTCACTGAGGGAGAAAAAAGAGCAACCTGGGATTCTACTCGGACGTGACGCTGCACTGTTTCTGGTCTCTTACCTTGGTGACACTTGTCTCATAGCGGTACTGTTCAATCCACTCCAGCGGTTTGAAATTCTCAATGGCGTAGTTGAAGCTCTTGTTGAGCAGTTTATCTGGTTTATGCTGAGTCTGGCTCCAACCATAACGGTCTCCCATCAAACAAACAAAATATGGGCGGCACTTCTCAATCTGACCAGGACAGAACCAACACAGAGCTAACAAAATAGCTGGGACTTCAAATAATACTTCATGTTTATGTTTATTTATCTAGCTAAGCACATAGCCATTGTAAGAGGGACAAACATGTCAATTTTTTCCCCAATTTTGATCATTTTTTGCTCTCAACCCTCTAAACTGTTTAAATTGACAATCTTGAGTTCATAACAGATGGAAATATTTTTAATCAATCTTTTACATAATTAATCAACAAAGATAAACAGACTGGACGAAGTGATTGGAATTTCACAAAAAGAGAGCTTTCTTGTGCTTTTGTGTTTAATTGTGTGATTTGTTTTAATGATGCCTTTTTGTCACTTTTGTATTTTGTATAAGAATATTAATCCCCACAGTTCTACAGCAACCATCAAATAAAGGCCTGTAAGAAATATTACAAACATCTGCATGCAAAATGCAACATTTACTTTGTACCTTCGAAGAGTGTTGAGAATATCCCAATTCATTGTACAGACAAACATTCAAATTGGACTCTGAACTAAAACATTTACAATTTTTGGCAAATGAAATGTGGAAAGTTTCATTTCATACCTCTCTAAGACAAATGGAGATAGTTTCACCGTCTGCAGTCTGGCTCTCGGTGATACCCCAACGAAGATCGACATAGGTGAAGAACACGCCACGATCCAGACAGATACGGTTCAACTCACGGAATGCCTTCTTGATCAAAACCTACACATGAGTAGCATAATGTAAGGCATTCTCAACTTAAACAAATGTTTCACGTAATATCACTATTTCTTATCAAATGTGGCATTTTTCATCAACACAACATCCACTCTCCAAAGACAGTCCTGTGTGGAAAATGTGGGAATGCTGAACTGGGAAAGAAGCTTTCATTTAATCAACTATCGTACTGATGACGCCACACTTAGTTTAAATATGTGCTTCTCGTTTCATGCTGAGTGGACTATGGGACTCAACTGCCACCATAGGACAGTGCACGTGTAACCAAAGTATGACATTATCAGTACATGGGCCTACTGACCTCTTAGCAAGAAGACATCTTTTATTTATATTTTTTGTTCTCAGCGAGCTTTCCCCATTCCATGGTCAAAGCTGACAGGTATCAGTGGGAGACTTTTGTCATTTTAGGAATTTGCACATTTGTGCTATAAACAGAGGGCCATCGTGTTTACTGCCACCATGTCTCTCACCTGCTCAAATAACATGGATTTCTACAAATAAAAATGAAATCTATGAAAAACGGGAAGAAAACGTCTCCTTTCATTTTGTTGAAAATAAGGGGGAAAAATGCTCCCTTAAAACTTTCTGATCATGATTTATTGTTGGGATTTCCTCAGCAACAGGTTATGCTGGAGAGCATAATTACCATCTACGTTAAAGAATTACATCAAGTATGCATGCGTGAACTCATCCAGGAAAACAAGTACAAAATTGTTTGTTACCCAGCAGAAAGGTCATAATTAAGCCATTTGTCGCATTGTGAGCTGCATGAAAAACTGTCCATTCTCAAAGAACATCACCCCACCGTCCAGCCAGGGAAGCTAGAGGACAAGCAAGGGCTTCTGGCCATGTTTGGGCCAATGCCTGTCCAAACGCCAGGTAGAATGTGCCAAGTACTCGTACAAATTTAAAGGGTTCAGTAGCAGAAAATTTGACAATCTTTGTGTTTGGCTTTGTGGCTGTGGGTTACATGTTACTGTGCCGAGCTTTACCTCTCTCTCCTCCTTGAAATCTTTAAAGGTGCTGGAGACAAAGATGCGGATCTCACGCTTCTTGCGTTTGGTCTTGTTGGAGGGTCTGACGGGGCGTGATCTGGCCTGGCCTGACTGCTGACGGCTGGCATCCATCTCTGTGCCGAGACGGTCTTCCATCTCCTCTGTGATTCAATGGGGAAAGATTGAGGATGCGCAAAGATGTCCATTAGTGGTTTCAGGAACACTCGTGGGACTCATAAACCCTAGGACCATTGATGGCCAGGCTACATCAATCTTATAGCTAGGGTCTAGTCACAGAGCTCACTGACCACCTCAACTCCAAATGACGTGTAACTGCCAGATGGTATGTAAAGGGATTTCTTGTGTCGTATTAAGGAGATGTTGAAACACATTCTAACAAATTCGTTAAGCAGTATTAGATGACATCTATACTCATTTGCAGGCTTGAGCGCTTCCCACTGAGTATGCACACATACAGGAGCTCAAACGAGTCCAACCAGGTTGAGCTTGTATAGAGCCTGGTGTTGCAGCAAACATCGCTCCACGACATAGCCTCAGGGCATCGTTTTAAAAAATGGTACATGCATTCTATCACTTTCAACTACTGGCATTTTTTAGCTGAAAATAATACCACCGGCAAGTGGTTAACTACAGTCTCCGTGAAGATTGGGCATGTGCATGAAATTATTTTCCTTCAAGTTCTAATGAGTAATGTCTCACATAAAAAACTTGAATTTGCTCACAGCTTTTTACATTGATGTAATGTGGTTCACAAACATTATTTCTGAGCGGATCTGTAGAAAAAGTGTTGATGGGTGATACTTACATCACGTTAGGGGAGCGTCTCAAAAGTCAAGAACTTTTAAGTTCCATTGGACATGTTGGACCATTCCCACTGAACACTGGAATTCCACAGGAAGGTTCACACATAGGGGGAATGGTCTACTTTGTACAAAGATGGTGCTGAGGCAGCTTTCCAGTGGGAATGCTGTGTTCCCTGTGGAATGTTCCAACCGTTCCAAATTATGAGATGCTCTCTTATATCTTCTGTAAAATTCAAGCATGCTCTCTCCCCTGCCTGCCTGCTGCAACGAGTGAAAAGCACCCCACCTACCCATCAGTCGCTGCATGTCTGTCAGCTCTTCTTGGTGTTGCTCGTACAGACCACGGACCATCAGATCTAACTCCTTGGTGAAGCTGGGACCCGTGCTGGGCTGGATGTCGCTGTAATTGTCCCCGGACGCCGCTCCGACCTCACTCTTGACCCGGATAGAGGCAGCTGAGCAGTAGGCACCAAAGTGACCCGCCCAAAATTTGTCATCCTTGGCTGGGGGAAGGACGAGGGAAGAATGTTGAGTGATCCTATGTTCTTTGGACAGGGATTAGGGCAATTCCAGAAATTAGGGATCCAAAAGTGTGACATTTTTATGTCCCTGTTACATCTGAACTTTGTAATTTGACATGGAAATTATCACTGGAATTTATTTCAAACAATAACGATTTGTTTGGCAGATAATTTGCATTAATTCATTACTCTTGGAAATTAGAAAATGTGTTCCGAACTCACAAAATCATATGTCAGACGTGAGAGGGACAGAAAAAACATTGACCTCGAATTTCTGGAATTACCCATTACTTTTGCTATTGACTAATGGCAAAAGACTGACATATCTGCAGATCCAAGGGCAGTGAAGGGCCAATAGGGACCATGCCTCCCCAGGACCCATCCTTAGACTGACATCTATTTGACTATTACCCTCTGTACAAACAGTTAGTTACCTCACTGCCAGTCAACAGTAACATGAAGACTGTCAATTCATTTATAGAGTTGGACATGCAAACACAAGTATATCTACCCACCCTGAAAGACAACAAAATCATTTTCATTTGAAGGCAAAACTATTACAATTCGGGAAGAACTTTTTTGTGTGGATAAACATGTCATGAATTTGCATTTCAGAAAACATTATTAGTGAGTTTTAATATGAATGCTACGTTTGCAATAAGAAATCCTGCTGTGTTCAAGTAGAAAGAAATGTTGGTTTAATCCAATATTAATCCAATGTGAAAAACATACAGGCCGTACAAACATCATTCCAATTTCTTTTTTATTTCTTAGACTGAGTTTTGCTTCAAGTCACTAAGTCAAGAGCTAACCATTCACCTGCACTTTCTATGCCAACACTACGGACCCCTCGACCGTAGTTCTTGAATGTAAAGCAGACCCTGATCCAATCAGAAGTCTTGATGCTGCCTTGCTGACCAGTGGTCTGGCGCTTAATCACGCTGCCATCATGACCCATCAGTGTGGCCGTCATTGAGTAAAAACCACCTTTGTTACAGCCTTCTCGGAAAGACTCTGACACCTAACAAAATACACAGTGGCTGATGAAATAACCCGACTCCAAGGGATCGGTAGATTGCTGGCTTACAAGCAGTTTCAGCTGGAGCTCTTAAGTTAAGTGAGAAACGAGTTAAGCTAAAACGGTCAGTTAACTGCCGGCTTGTAAATAAATAACTTGACCAAAAGTATTTTCATTACATTGTATTTACTTAATAATTAATCAGTAAAACAACATAGTGCGGGAGCAGTAAATAGTTTGAGGTTTGTTTAGGAACCAGTGAATCAATGCACTCAGTAGTGGGACAGGCACAGAACAGTTACGTAGTAAGGATGTGGGCAATGACCATGTACAGCTGTTTGCTTTGCCCAAGACTGGCCTTTCTGATTACTGCACATGGGTATACCGGTACTGTGTGTTTTAAGGAGACTCAGTTAGAAACCCACGGCAGGCATGGACCTCAATACTGACCTGGATTTCTGGGCTTGAATCCAGGTGCTTCTCAGAGAAGTGCTCGGTGAGTTCCACCTCCTGGTACTTGGTGCACCACATATGTGACGAAATGAACACTGCAAGCCAAGTTACAATAAGGCGATATAATCCACTCCAAGCACAACACCTGCAGAGAAAATGGGCTAGTACCCTGACACCCCTGCTACTGTGTGCCCGACACCCAACCAATGAGGTGGCTTGGTCTCCACCGCCCCGATAGGGTGCTAGGAAGGGATACTTAATAGCTGCAGATGCACAAAGCACTGTGCTTTCACTCACTGCCCTGGTCAATGCAGTTACATGTACATTCAGTATCCACGGGTCAGGTGGAAATGTTGTTGAACCGTGTTGTTGCAAATATGTATTCTAACTAATGAGTGCTGGGGAAGAATTACAATGCTCATTTACCCTTCCCAGCGTGCTGTAAGGGTCAAGTTTGACTGGATTTTTTTTCAAATACTTCAAATGCACTGACCAGTGAAAATGTACATACTGTTTAGTGAACCAAAACACCAGACAGTTTCATACAGCGAAGTGCTTCCAAACACAGGCATGCATTAAGGAAATTCCAAGGTTTTGGAAAGTAAGTAGTGTTTTTCATTCTAAATGGCACACATGCAATGTAAAGTATAAGGAAATCAGCCGATTCAAGGAAACGTACGCCTACAAACACAGCATTCCTTTGGATATAATAATATACTCAGACAGCCCATTCTGCTCAAGGAGGATGCTAAGGTTTTGATACATACTTGTCTCTGTCTGGTCTCCACCCTCAGACACTTTCCAGTTACCAGAGTAATTCCAGTTGCTAAGGTCGCCAGTCTGCACAAGCAAAAAAGTCGACAGAAACTGTGTAAAGGATCACCCAAGAAGACACTGGGAAAGAAAAGGATGAATTCCCAGTGACAAAGTTGATCTTCGGGGTTTCTCTTGAAGGCAGCCTGATACTTCTCTTGAACAATGAGCTATTTTTTATTCAAGTGTGATTTTTTTACAAATGGACAGCCAAATTTTCATTAATACTAATAGCAAAAAAAATCAACTGTTGATGGAATCTTACATCAGAGGGATGCACACTTTGTGTGGTTTGCCCTTCACAATCAAAATCACATGAAAAACTGAATACTATCACCCCAAAAGTATTGTGATAGAAATTAAATTAGGTCATATAGGTTAGCCAATATTGCCACAAGTAGAGTAAGCATGACTACCCTGGATTCCCAGGGAATGCACTCGCACGCAGAAAATTTTCTACAAGTCTTGGGTTCCCACCTACATGAAATTTGTTAGTTCGAGTTTTTGTTTTGAGAGTAATACCTCTCCACAATTTCCGTACGTTTTTTTGTTTCAGTCTTAACAATTTATCCAATAAGTTAATCCTGTATGTGATTGTAATTGATGAAGGAGAATACAAGAAAGTCTGACCACTGAAACCTCAGTTTGGCCTCAGGCTTTATTTTCCTGAGTCAATCCCCGATTTCTTAGGCCCTTCGTGATATGGTTTGTCCCGTGTTACTTCACAACCAGCCAGAGGTTCAGCCGAGCCACCCACTTTTCTTTAAGTCAAGTCCTTGACCGCAAGAGTTTGTCACAGTACTCCGACATACAATGATTGCAGACTGTCAGAGATATAATGTGTATCTTAAGTCCCAAAGGTGCTTGAGTCCATCAACACCTAGTTCAGAGTGACGGACGCTTAGGGTAGCTCCATTACTGAGAGAAATCACCTCACTTTTCAAACCCCAAAGGAAAAGATGTCTTCCTAAGGACTGATTAACAAGATAAACTACAAATGAAACAGTTTTAACCACTTCGTGCCGGGGCATTTGTCAATGTTGATGATGCTGGGCCGGCATGACTAGCATTTTTTCCGTTAGTGGTTAATAATGTGCCCCCTACCAAGGGAAATCACTAATTAAAACACTGCAAGTAAGATACAGCATCTCACCTCCCCTGAAGGATTAATGAGCAAGTTGGACGACCAACCAGCAATCTTCATCTGCTTCAGATTAAGGGTACGATCCAGGGGGACTAGGGTGTCAGCCAACTGCCCAGAATGTCAAAAAAACCATGGTGAATTACATTGACAACAGCAAATCACACACTGTACTCTGGTATACCACTTTTAAATTACAGGTCACTGTGGCCAGTGAACTGTTTTTGTATTTTACAGCAAAATATTGCTTGAATGGTCCATGATGTAAATTTTACATGGGAACATGTTTTCTGCAATTTTTCTACTTTTTCCTAAATTTCAAACAACTACCTGAAATCTCATTTTGGTTTAATAGGCTCAATGAAATTTTTCATGCTTTTCCTCATGAGTACACTTTTGCTGTAATGTCAGCAAAGATTTTAAGTGTTTTTCTGTTAAAATTGAGAACCCAGGATTTGCCCAGTGGAAACATCGGAGAAAATTTGTTCATTGGCTTACCGTCATGAAATAAAACAATGAATCATCAAAGTAAACAAAGTTCATAGAAGCAAAATGTCAAATATTGGGGCAAATGTTAGTGCAAAAATAGCCAAACAGGGAAGTTTTGCCTGGGATGAAATCACAACCTTGTTCATAAATGTCAAATTTGCATCAGCTTAAAAATCACAAAAGGTACCAAAATGCCCTTGAAATGGCAACAAAAACTGAAAATTGAGTTAAATTAAACAAAAATGAGTACTGACAAGCACAGCATTAAACGCATTGCAATGTCTAGGTCCTTCAACTTTAATTAGCAAATAAAAATGCCTTCAAAGACATGCCATAGTGCATGCAGCAAAGCATATAAAATGATCAAGAACGTCATTAACTTCAAGCAGTGACATTCTGTTCAACTTCAAAGCACATGGGATGAGTATTGAATGAGCAGATGTAAGTCTAGCATCGAGGGTCAAAATGAGAGAGTTGCTACAGCTACACGTAATGTCAGTGGTTGTAAATGAACTTTGAAGCATGCACAAGCCTCCAACAAGCTTTAGTCACTCATATGTCACTCACATGGCAAAAATGTACCGTATTTGAAAACTAAACTGACATTAAAGCATTTATTTTTTAAATACCCAGGCACAATAGCGTACCGAAGTGTGACGTCACTGTGAACCAGAAAGCGCAGTGCAAATGAATGGAGTACCAGCGCGTATTGGTTCACGCGCTGGCTCGCACGCTAATGCCTTTTACACACTAATTGTGCACGTGACGTATTCACTTTGGTACTCTATAATTGATCAAGCATTATCTCACAGATTACTGACAGGTGTTCTGTGGTGTTTAAATTTTTGGTAGCTCATCAACTCTGTCAACACCACCCAACAGTCAAAATTTCAGTAAGTTGCATGAACTGTATAGTACGTTTAGACAAATCTCTCTAAATTGTGGCTCACGAATCATGGCAGAGGATTTTGTCACTTGTGCCCATGGGCATGCCACTTTACAAACAGTTCGTCCCCCTTCCCAGGACGTCAGCAGTGAATTTGGCAATGGTGGAATGATCTGAATGCCCATGATGCCCGGCAACCAGTGTTAACACTACTCCATGTGCTGTGACTTCATTGCGAAGAAATCCACACATGAACATGCTGGTTTTGTCCTCATGCAAGACGAATGTTCCTACCACTGTTGGGCTGGCTCGAAATCAAGGACCATTACAATACATGTACGCAGTCCTTGCTCAATCGCATTTGCCAATTCTGAAACAAATGTGTTGCAGAAAACCTGTTGAATTTTTCGAAATGCAGATTGACAAAGGGGGATATTATTTCCCACTGAACAAAGAGGTGTAATAACTTCATTCCTCCAGTTCCGTTCAGCAGGAACCTTTCAGTGATATAGAATTCCCTTCCAGTAGTGAACGAAGAGCTTGTAATACTCATCGACAAAGGGTTTAAATAACTGAGCCTAAAGGGGTGTAAATGAGCAAATATCTAGGCACAAGACAAAATTACAATTTTTGTAGAGCAAAATGAAATATGTAAATACCAGTACAGTATTCCAATATTTTAGTTTTATTTTAAAAAACATAGCAGGGCTGCTCATCTTTGCAAAATTATTTCCCTCTTCTAAAAATTGAAAAAAAACAGTATTTCCCTGACAAAATAGACTTTTTCACGAGGCAAGTTTCTTCCATACTTTCGTGAATTTCAGCACAAAATGAGAAAAATCTATACTGGTCGGCAGGCTTTGTACTGTGTTTTTCCCCTCAGAGCTAAAGTCTTCAAAATAATCAAAAAAAGATCGTGGATTTTAAAATTATTGAGCTAGCCCAAGCTGACAACCTATCCCATGACATCTCATCCTCCAACCGATGCACTGCCAGAGCCAAGTTCCAACCCTCTATCTTACCTTCTGCTTCATGCTCATCTCCTCTGCCTCCTCCTCCTTGGTAGGCGTTGCCTCCCTGTAGGTATCATCGTGAACCATGAAGGCGGCCGGATGACACCCGCCATGGCCTGGGGCTATAATGATCATCAAATGTCCCATTAAAGTACGATGCATAAATGACAGCAGCTGCAATGGTAGCAGTAACCATTGAGAAAACAAATGCAACTAGCACCAGAAAAACACAACTGCAATGAACGGCCATTTTTTCCCCCCCTCCTAAACAGCAGCAACGGCAGGAGTGACAACTACCAGCTAAACAGCCGCCTCTCGAATGTCTTTAAAACCCACAACATGCCACAGCACTTTTATGAGCTGTGAGATTTTATGCAAAATAATATGCCATGTACCTCATCTGCTCGGTGCAGAAGCAAGAGTTGGTGTCTTTTTATAGGAATGATCTCCGGCTTTTTGGTGGGGACAAAATGCATGCACATACAGGTTCATGCACAGACAGTGCGGGACACACTGAGCACACATGGCAAATTTCTGCTGAAAACTTCAAATGTACCGTAGTATGGTTTTTGCGTGGACACAGGGGTCATGGGTTAAGGCGTCCTCAGAGGGCAAGTTGATGCATTCGTTATAACTACATTCAATTAACAGAAACAGTCTCGGAGACACCATGGAGATGTCAGCGATGCATAACCGTTATCGTGCACCAAGTTACAATTTTTTTCAACCAGCCTGTTTCTTCTTTGCTAGTGAGCGGTTGCTTCTAGTCACAGTGGCCCAACAGAATACAACAAAGTTGCAAGCTTTTGATTTCTTCACGGTTATGTTTCGTGAGTGTTTTCTATCCTGGCTGCATTGCTCTGGTAGGTGAAAACAACGGACAACCAGACAGTCTGAAGGTACCATTACTCACAATTGCGAAAGAAGAGATTGATATTATTGCCATTGCTTTCGAAGGGAATAGACACGATCTTGGCCGTGTACTTAGGTACAACCTCAGGGATCTCATTCAACTGTTGAGTCACCTGATAGAAAAAACAAATTCATATCATCATCAAAAATAGATCAATGTGCACAATTCATCGTTATGTGTCTACAATGAAATTTAACGGCTTACTCATATGGGACTGATGAATTGTTATAAACTGCAATAAATTGCAAAATTAGAGACACATAATGTGACTGGAAGGTCCAACTGTTGGCATACCTCGTTGCTGGACTTCAAAAAACTACAGACAAAAATATTTACCTTGTTGAGAATCACAGATATTTTACTGAAAGCGACAGTACTGCATCTCCAAATTATTTATAGAAGACAATTGTAACTTAATGCTGTTCACCTGTTTAAATATGTTGTTATCAGTGTAGCTATATTTTTATGTTTTACGTTTATGTAAAGTAAACGGTCAATATTAAATGCAACGCAAAGTCTACTGAAAAAAAGCTGACAAACCTCTGAAGAATAAGATTCGTGATTAATTTTGATGATCTGTCTCTTCAGGTAATTACTGACACTGTAAAGCTTCATGGTCAAATTCCCTGATTTGTTGACAGGTATCTAGAAGAGATGAAGACGGAAGAGGTTGAATAGTTGCAATGGGTCTGACCTACAGGGTTTGAAAAGTGGGTGACTAGACCCGATTGGAAATTAAGGTAGTATAAAAATTCAGACACCCAATATAAAACGGTGCTAGAAAGAAACAAATGAAATTCGTCAATGACTAACTCTATTTTTGAACTATTCACAAGACACAACACCCCTTGCGCTTAAACTAATGCTTTTTTATGATCTTCACATGACCCATGATTAGAAATGCACAAAGCTCATGAATATTCAGAATGCGCAAAGCTCATGAACATTCCAGAACCATTTCTGCACCCCAACAGTCAAGAGACACGATTGCAAGTCAGGGTGTTGGATACCAGCTGCATGTATTTGACTGAACTGGACAGAAAACTACAGCCAGTATCTTGAAAAATAGCACAGCATGGGGACATGTGTCCGAAACAACAAGTGGCCTTGTGATTAGCGTTTGTAGTTTCTCATCACAGGGTCAGAGATTCGAATCCCGACAAGTGATTACAGTGAGGCTCTTGGCAAAGTCTGACAGACTACAGACGTGGTAATTATAATCTTTAAATTCACACCAGGTGTTTGGTAGCATGGTGAAGAAGTAATCTGTCCAATTCCCATTTCATACTTCACAAGAACAAGAGAATACAAATCTGTCAGGGCACTGTTTGGGTATTTAGGAACCCATTTTACTGTTTGCACTTATCATATAAAATGAACTATGATTACTCCATTTGATTGGATTTTTGATACGGCATTAGTCAGCTGAGTTTAGATTTAGGATTGTGCAACTGCATCAGAAACCCATCCAGCCAACAAACCAACCTCAGTTCCGCCCAAGCACTTGCCTCCTTGTTGCCTGGCCTATTTCTCTCATAGCAATTCATGTACTTACATCATATGACATCTCATCCGCAAATTCAGGATGGGTTCCGTTGTGGGTGCTGAACAAGAACCCATCATTGGTATTTGTCATCATGTTGTACAAGTTGTGGTTGGCATCTATCAAGCAATTAAACTTTCGTTGACATTTCACACCTGTCACAAAATAAGCAACAGAAGATGTACACTGAGAACATGATGTTGAAATAACAGTACAATGTAATGTTAAAATGTGGTGCTCAAAGGGAAGTTCTTTATTACCCCTGCTCTCCAGGCCAATAAATCATTCCATACGGGTTACTCCAGAAATTAAGGGTCCATTTTTTTGGTGTCCCTGTCACATCTGACATATGATTTTGTAAGTTCAGAGCACATTTTCTAATTTCCAAGAGTAATGAATTAACCCTCCTATGGTTTTACAGCACAAATGTGCACAAATGCCCACAGTCACTGGTGAGCATATATTTTCTATGGAACTCAAACATGCACAGGTTCAGCGTGTACACAGTAGGTTGTCAGCACAAAATGGCCCAAGGTCTTTTGTGCAGTCCTCTTCACTGCATTTGGTTTACTGCACAGTTATGCACATGAAACAGTGAAGCACAGTTATTGGGCAGCACAAAACTGCAATCTGATATTCCTCTGAGGGACAGTTGGTGTCGTGCACAACACGACACAGCTGTGCTTCATTGAGGTGTTTACCAAATGACCCAAAGAGTTACTTCCACATAGGAGGGTTAATGCAAGTTACCTGCCAAACAAATTATAGTAATGGTTTGAAATCAATTCCGGTGATATTTCCATGTCAAATAACAAAGGTCAGATGTAACAGGGACATGAAAATGTCACACCTTTGGACCCCTAATTTCTGGAATTAACCATAAATCATTCCTGTTTCTCCATCCACATAATGAAGCACTCTGTCCAAGTAATAGTATTAAACAATATGCAATATGTGCTGATGAAAAAGAGCAAAGGAGCAAACAACAAATCCCAATGTACCCTTCAAAGTGTGATCATAGGGTGCATCATCAACTATTTGCTGCAGGGTTTAATTTGAATCTGGAGGATGAGTCCCAGGGCAATTTTCAAGACTTTCTGTTTTCAAAAATCTTCAAAAATTCATAACTTCATTTACTGGACATTTACACCCACACAAAGGATTATCTGGTGGCTACTCTAATCCGACAGGCAACCTCTGTTGATGCCAGAGTATTTCAGCCAGGCATCCGCCTATTAAAGACAGCCAAGATTGTGCGGTGTTGCGTAATTTCCTTTGGTCCCCAAATTGGCCCAGTGAGTTGCTGAATGCCAGTAGAGCCTTTACAAATGCGGCTGGATCAGAGTGCAGCGGCACTGTATCGCTCACCACCGGAGCACACTTGTCCCCGCTGATAATCCACTGGCTCTGTGTGCCACAAACAGTGGTATACTGTTTCAAAATAACAGATTACCTCCGCTAATGCCACCTGAAAAATGATGGCAAATCCCAGCAGCTTGGTCTTTTGTTCCAAGTATGGTCTTTTGTTACAAGGCCCAGCTCCTTTTTCAATTTCGGTTACCCCAGCTATGCATACAAACCCAAGGTAGCCGGTTCTGGAAATGCCAGAGGCAAGTGGTTAAAATCAGTATCAGCATTAAGAAGGGATGGTATCAGGATTATCCGGGTCTTAAGTTGCATATGGATGTCTGGATCACGTCCAGCAGTGGAACAACCCGGCAGAGGCAAACTCAGGAACTGTGCTTCAGCATTTTGACGACTGGGGGTACCAAAGACCAACTCTAGACTCACCATCGGCTTCATTGTCCACTTTGAATGTCACCTCGGTTCCAGAGAACACCACCATGTTGAGCGCTTGATACATTGGCCCTCCAAGATTGACAGCATACAGGACACCCTGGGGCTGGTTCACAATGCGATAGGGGGAGCCCTCCAACTCAACACTCACCGGTTGGTTATCTGTGACCAAAAAACAGCTTTGTTTTCAAAATCATCCAGATTGGTATTGGCATGATTTTGGCACACTTTTCAAAATATATTTCATTTGGCCCTGTAGGACCTACAGACAACACTGTAACATTTTAACAGGTGCTAACTGTTTGAAATACAAGAAACACACCTTTCCACAGAGGACTGACTGACAGAGAATGTCATAAATGAAAGTTTGTTTTCAATCCGCCCTATCAAGAAACAATTACTAAATGTCCAATTCACCGACCTGCACTCTGACAAGGAAAGAATGCTCTTTCAGGCTTTCCAGGAAAACTAGATCTACCAGCATCGTCTTCCGTAGGGTCTTTGCAAATTTCAAGACATTAGCAGGATACTTACTAATATCACTAGTCATCCCATACACTTGAAGCAGCTTCAAACCGGTGCTGTTCTCATCACTGCTCAACTCCCTCTGGAATCCGAGTCTGCCATCAGGCTGTTCCAACAGCTGTCCAGCCTCCACCAACTCGATCATTCTGCCATTTAGCATAATCTTCACCTGCGACATTTGAGACACCCATCCGGTGATGCTTGCACCGTTAATGTACACGCCTCCCCTGTACTTGCTCTCAAAGCCTGTAGCTAAGCAGGAATTTTGAAAACACCTCTGCTGTGGGTCAGTGACGTCTTCAGGAAGGTTTGACATGAAGCTGTAGCGACAAGGAGCACTCGGCCCAACGACAACAAGCTGGTTATCATCCTCTGAGATGAACCAGTCACTGGCTCGTTCTGAGGATCGAGAACTTCCTCCAATGAAGGAACACCTGACTCCCCATTTCTGGACGGTGACCAAGTAAAGCGCTGATGATGTCATGTCATCCACCCCTCTACTGCATGAACACAGAACCAACAGACTGTAGTCTACATACCCAGACAGGCTCTCCAACAGGACTGTCTTCTCAGACCCATTGAAAGTCTGAGTGTGAACGACTTTCCCAGACGGTTTGGTATCCCCGTTATCGTCGGAGCGCCAGATCCCATAGTGACTCTGTGATGGACCGGTAATTTCCAGCATCCCCTGGTCACAGCTGAAGCTCCACAAATCATCACAATTCTTATCTGTGATGGCATGCGCAACAAGCTTGCCAGGCTCGTGACTAAAGGCAACGAAGTACGCATTACAGGGCTGTGAGCCTTTCTTACCTGCTGCACTACACAGGACCAGCAATGCGCTGCCGTACTTTCCAGGGCTAACAGAGATATCCGTTTTTAAGGTTGCCGTGCTGCTAAAGCCTTTTGCCTTTGGCCCTGAATACACTACAAACACCCCACAGTGACCCATTTGAGCTAGGTTGGACACAATCGTAGCCCTCGAGAAACCAAATCGCAAACAGGGGGACATGAAACCATCGGCATCAGTGTGCACACGAAAGTACTTATACAGAGAGTGCTCCCCTGCTTTGCTCAGGGACGTGTACTGGAAGTGGTTGCCACCGAAGCCGCAGCGGATCAGACACAGCTCTGAGGTGAAGGTGGAGGTGGTGACGTCTGTCAGCAACATCAGGGCCGTGCCTCCCCCATGCTTGGCATTGACACTGAAGTAGGTCTTGGTGAAGGCTGGGATGGGGAACCCACTGGAAGCCGTGCCCGTCATGCAGGCAAAGTCAGCTATGTATAGATGAAAAAAGGAAAGAGGAAATGGCACCACGTATCCACTCTGACAAGAGGCACTACTTCCCTCACTAGCAGAGAGGAGACGGGCTACTGGGAAAAATCCAAACTTGGCGCAATGTCGCACACGTGACTAAATTGGACGCATGTGCTCAGCATGTCCTGTGTCAAACAGGCACAACCCTGTGCACATTAAAATATTCCTGAGTGGAGCGGATTGCAGGCAATAAACATAGACCAGGCCCTACAATGACAGGGTGGTCTATATTGTAGCTGCTGGGAGAACAGGATGACACCGACAAATTTCAATATCTGCCAAGAAGCATTTAACAATTGTTGACAGCTGTGATGTGGGATATGACGTGGGATATGGGTGTTCAAAATGTCATATCACAGCAGCCAACAATTGTTTTGTCATATCCCTGTCTTAAAGAAACATGCTCTAAGTTTCAGAAGGTCAGAAGACGATAGGCCCAGGCCTACTGTCAAACTGTATAACAGTAGAAGTAAACGATATCGTCTGCGTATGTACTGTTCCCTCACTTTCTTTAATTGCATAAACTTTAATGTGAAAGTAGTGTGGTTACCAGTGAGTACAATTTCACATTATGTAGTCTGGTTAGTGATCCCGGCATTACATTATACGCCGCGGGGACGGGAATGAATCTGTTATAAGAGCATAACCATTAATCAAATTCCCTGGTAACAGATAGTATGCACAAAATGTATCATGGGTACCACGCAAAACTCACTAAATCAGTGACAACGGTCACTCTCGAACTTCCCGAAGCTCTTCAGTCTCGTATGCACACACGTGCATGTGCAGAATGAAATGTCTCGCGGTGAGTGTGATATGCAGATATATCACCCTGTCATGTGATCGTTCTTGGCCAATGAACAGACAGTATCCAAGACAAAGGTATGACAATTGTACACCGTATTTTTAAATATGGCTGCTTTTTGCTAAGATGGCTGCCTCTGCTCTCAAATATGGCCACGATGGGTATCCTGATACCAAAGTTGAAAAATTAACAGCAACCCACAAGTATTTTTGGTCTACATACCTACAGTCTTGATGTCCTTGGGTGGAGGTAAGCCCAGGTCCACCTTCTGGAGTTCTTTGGGCATGGCTGAGTAATTATAAAAACATTCACAAATAGATATATTAGATATGTCATTTTGGTTTTAACTTAGTGAAGTCAATAGCACTTGTTGATATTTTCACTTGGTATATAATGTCCGTGTTTATTAAAACACTGTCAACAAACCTGGGTGGCATTTAACATTAACTTTTCAACTGACAACACAGAAAAAATTCAGAAGCAAAAATCACAGTGTAATGACAAATGACTTTGATCCCCTGATCTGGTATTCCAGCCAAACCACCATATTCGGGGGACAATGTGAACATAAATTTTTTTAATCTAAAGATTGTATACAGAAGGCACGAAAAATGCTAATGTATGGCATGCCTTCAAACTACTGAGGTTGAAGGTATGTTCTAAATTAAAATTTTAATTTTTTCAAATTAAAATATTAGACATTTAATCCCTAACACTTTCCTCTCTGTTTCCACATCCCCAAACCCCAGCCCCTTTACCATAAGCTTCATTTTGAGATTTCAGCTCCAAAAAAATGAATTTAGAAAGAGAAAAGGCGAAAAGCCTGGATGGTGTAAAAATAGATTTCACATTAACCACTTCCTGCCGGGCGACTCGTTTTCAGGTACATAGGCTTTATATACAGAGCTGGGGAGCCCGGAACTGGGACGAAAAAGTTGGACCTTGTAACAAAAGACCGTGCTCAGCACAAAAGACTGAGCTGCTTGGCAAAACAGACATTTTTCTCAATAGTGGAAAGTGGAGATAATCCAGCCTTGTTTTGAAACAGTATACCACGGTTTGAGGCATTTAGAGCGAACAAATTACCACCAGGGACAAAAGCTCTCCACCACCGCAGCGATGAGCCACACAGCACCGCTGCACGCTAGTCTGGCCCCTATCGAAAAGAGGCCAGCAGTGCACTTTGCTAGCTTCCGGAACAAAAGAATCTTACGTAACACCGCAAAATCTGAGCTCTTTTTCCAAGGCTGCACGCCTGGCTGAAATATTCAGGAGTCAATGAAGTTTACCTGTCAGCTTTAGACTAGTACCAAAAGAGTCCTTCTTGTGGGTATAAATGGCCATTAAAGGAAATGATGAATTTTTGAAGAATTTTGAAAATGGAAAATCTTGAAAAGGACCCGGCATCCTGTCTTGCTCAAGAAGAATCCACCAGGCAGCAAGTGGTTAACAAATTGGTGCATTCTACGGTGTCCCCATGTCCATGGGAAATTTAAAACCAAATGGGTGGTTCTGACAATACCTTGAGTCAGCTTCAATGCTGCAATGCGTTTCACTGCTGCTTGGTTCTTCACCACATTGAATGCTGTCACCACAGCAACCTTCTTGGAGGCTTTGAGCCCCTGTTGCTTGGATACCTTGGTACCCATTGTGTGTTTCTTCAGCTGTCTGTAACATGAAAATGAAAAAATCAAATGTTTTGAAAATATTCGAGACACGATTTCAGCCATTTGCTTGATACTGAACATGTCTTTAGCCGGGTACATGTATTTCACACACAGCCTTCTTCTTTCGCCTCATTGGGAACCAGCCAGTGCGCACTGATGGCAAAACAACAGCTGCTGCAGGAAAACAACAGGATGATCTGCAAAAAAAGGTTGAATTTCTCTTGTCCTAGGCATCGTTAAACACAGCGGCACTGGTTTAATTTTGGGTCTTACTTTTATCTTGAGTGTCCTGCCCAACACACTGCAGGTGAAATCTGACAATTTTGGTGGGCAAAGTGTGTCTGTTTCATATTCTGGAACAGGCTAAGAGGCATTCCCTAAGAGTCTGCTATTGCCAAGTCAAGCCCAAATGTTAAAAAGAGCAATTTGGTGTGTCCTACATGTACTTCCAGGGATGAGGGCATGCCCAACTTTTGTGACAAAGTTGGGGACACCCAACTTTGGTTTGAAAGAAAAACTTTATGAAATACAGAACACAGGCACGCATGGAGTAGCACGAAACTGTGTTCAAATTAAACAGAGAAAGAAACCACAGTGAGTGAAAAAATGATAGACTGCAAGAAGAAATGGAAAGAGGACGGGATGGCAGAGAGGGCAAAATCAATGGAACAAAAGGATATCGGAGTTATGTGAAGCAATCTTTTAACACCTCTAATACTACCTTTTGCTTCACCCATTTTTTTAAACTTAAAGGTGTGTGCCAGTCCAAAATTAATTTGGCAGCCTCAGGAAGTCTTCCTTGTATACAACCAAAACTTTTACTAGCTACACGACAGAGGAAGTTAATAGAAAACATGAAATTCATATTAATTCTAGCAGTTAAAGATATAGCCCACTAAATCTTACCTAATGACAACATCCTGAAAGTAAATAATGACCACACAATTTCAGGCAACACTCAACAAGAATTAGCGTGTGAAGTCAACCCTACCTTGACATGGTTTTAGCTTGTTTTCCTTTTTTCTTCAAATTTGATTCTTCTCTTAAGATAACCCGATTTCAGACATGCCAAAGTTTGTCATATCTGTCTAGCGTGCCTCGTGAACAGAGTACATCATGATACTGGTGCATGTACTTCTGGTGGTAAGTACACTTGACAAAACTTGCTTGGCATGCTTACTGAGTACTCATGATTTTCGTGATCAGCATGACATCACTGGATCTTATTTCTTGACCCTGATTGGTCAGAGCCATTGGTGACTGCTGTGTTTAACCCCTCTGGACTCAGAGGGGCATGAGTGGTGGTGTGGTCAGTTGCGAAAACTCCACACATACATGTATGTATATTATTGTCCAATACACTACATGTACACTTCTACGCCCTTTTTTTTTGGATAAGACTATGGCTGCATCCGAATCTGTTATCTACATGTACAGCTACATGTCGGTCTAGGACATCACTCCATTGGAAATATGTGCAGACAATAGACCTCGCCATACATGCGGCTCTGGACAACCGTTTCGGACAGGACCTGAAAGTTCCAAATACTGTATGTATAGTAATTTTCACAGTGTTAGACCTGTGTCCTAAAGTCAAATTTAGCAGGGAAAACATTGAACCATTTGAATTTTTCAGACCGGTCTCATACTAGGGTTTATGTATAGGGTGTCAAGTGATGTCTGTAAACAGAACTCTTTCCCATTTCACCCTTTCACTGAAAATAGGCCTAGGCCGATCTAAATTTCACTGTTCCATGCAATAATATTGTCGTTCACGCATATGAATATTCGTGTGCCTACATTTCCCATCATGTATTTTTTTGTTTACAATGCACGCTGACGTAATTTGAACCTTCTAAGATTCAAACGTCACTTGTCCTTATTTGGTGGCAAAGATGTGGAAAATCAAGGCATTTCCGGTGAGCATTTAGATTAGCTTACTTGTAGGGACATACAAGTATTTTTTCAAATCTCGGCAACTTACAATTATGCAATAATTTCAATGACCCAGATAATGGCACAAATTCCAAACGAACTTTACAAGCGTAAATTATCTGCAAGTCAAACTACAGACGATCACTTTTAGGGGATTTTTTTTCTGAACAACAGAGGGCATGAAAAACATGGAGCATCAGAAGGGGCCTTGCAGTTTATAAATTGTTACACATAAGAGACATAATAAAAAACGGATCTGTATAGGATGCTTAATATTTCTGGGGAATATTTGTAAAACGTCATTTTCCTGGTACATGTATATTTCTAGTATTTCTGGAGTATTTGAGTTGCCATGTTAGCACAATCTGTTCCTATCTTACATGCAGGTCCAATTACAGGTATTGTAAAGCAAGCTGTAACCCATAGGCCCTAGGCCTGCATTACGTTATGGTTGGTAGTTCACGGGATAAAAAAGGTCACTAATGTATTGCCCTGTCCTTAATGATGTAATTTTTATGTGGAAGCATCTCTACCTGTATGTGAAATATTTTTAGAGATGTTTCTGTTTTGTTGAATAACATAAAAATAATATTTTTTCAGTTGTAACAACAAAAATAATTTGTACAAATAAAACCAACAAAAAAGACACCGGGTACTCTCTCCGTTGTTGGCTGACACGAGTGTAAATCGTGTTTTAATTGGCAGAACATGTGCACCGGTCCTTTTCAACCAAGGGCTGAAGGCTACAGGTGCTACTCTCCCACCGTGATGACCAAAGCATATTGGGAAGTTATCGATGAGCAGAAATCCATCCATCCAGAATTTAGAATTCCTGAAGCAACACTTCGGGATCATGTTTGAGGGAGAATCAGAGCTGAAGTAATGAAACCTGGGAGAGATCCTCTCTTCTTGAAGAGCCTGAATTAAAAGTTAGAAAGCCAAGAGGTCTTGAGCTCTTTCGAGCAAAGGCTACATCAGAAGAGGTGGTAGCAATATACATGTACTACGAGCTGGATAATATCATGACCAAGCGCAACTTAAAGATGTCACCAGAAAGAATATACAACACTGATGCAGAGGGCCAGAAGTTCAATCCCACTCTACCCTCAATCATCACAGCACAAATATCAACACCTGCCGTTACACCTGGCAAAAGATCGCCCAATTACTATCAGACCTGTAGGTTGTGGCAACGCCCAGGGGCAGCAGATACCCCCGCTGTATTTCCCAGCAAAAGGATGAGACCGGAGCTCCTTAATGACAGCTCCACCAGCACTGACAGAACAGTGAGTGAAACCGGATGGTCCATTCCAAGTCAGACATCTTCATGACATACTAAACTCATTTTCAGAGGTCCTCTGTGCGAGTCACACATTTCACTGACAGTGCCTGACGTGGCAAAGAAGAATAACATTGTACTCTTTCTTCTACCGGCACACACCAGCCACATACTTCAGCCCCTGGATGTTGGCTGCTTTGGACCCTTTCTGAGGGTGTACAATGCAGAATGCTACAGGTACATACGGGCCAACTCTTGTATCGGAATCGACAAATTTGCAATATGCGGGTTGGTGTACAAGGGTTATGAGATGGCACTCTCACCAAGAAACAAAAAAAAGGTCTACACGGTAGTGGCCAATTCTGGAGGGCACTCGACGCGCTGAAAACCGTCACTATTTCATGTAAAAACTTTGTTGAACGCATTTATTTCACGTCTTCACGTCTTGGGGACGATGAATGTTTGAAGGCCGTGCTAACCTGGACCCACTTGAAATTTTTGTTGCGACGTCAGACGACTGAGAGCCGAAGACACATTCTACTGTCCATGTCATAGTACGCCCTGCAAACTGGTACCAGTGAAGGGATGACTGACCTACCAGTATTGACCGATGGAATACCCGTTGAAGTCTGTGTTTGTCATCTCTTTGAAGCTAGCTGGTGTCTCCATTTGCTTGGGCCTAGTGGACTCAAAATATCCACAATTTTTGGAATTTTGACTAGTCCTCCATGAAGTTGACAAGGTATTTTACGGTTATGTAGTCCAAACATTAAATAGGCACTGCATAAATTGCAGACATAGGGCTACACAGGACCCTCGTAGAATGACATAACATCCATCACGCAACCGTGTGAACATTGAATTCAGCCAAGCCGAAGTCACAGATTTCAAGACAATGATGATTGCAGTGTATATACGTATGCTTATTCATCTTGGATGTACATTATCCAGTAGGTACCAACACTAGGTGGCTTAGATAGAGGTGTTCTAAAAAGCTTCAATTTATTCCTTTCAAATGAGTGGACTTGATGGGGCACTCAAATGAGTGGTCTTAGGGGGGTTCATTACCTTTAGCACTCTGTTCCTATTTTATGGGAACAAATTCTACTTTTTCGAAGTAACTTATCTAAACAAGTTGTTGGTGATGTCCTCTTACATATCAGAAAGAAAAGAGAACAGGGCTTTTGGTTTTTGAGAGAAATGTTTGGGTAAAACGGCAGCATACATGACCACCCCGAAGGTAGCTATGAACGACAAATAAACGAATGTAGTCTGGTGCCTGGACCTAGCATGCCTGGATGGGGATTCGTATTGATGAATCCAAAGAGCCTGATTCGGGTAACTGGACGAAAAACAAAATGGCGTGATTCAACTGAGTGGTAGTCTTTTGCCAAACTTGGGTTAGAAATTTGAAGTTTCCATGCTTACATATTGTAAATATTTACCTAAACTACGCCCATCAGGATTGAGTAATGGTTCCTTAAGGTCAAAATGTTAGTTAGTTTGAGAAAGTGGACTCTGTTTCCTTATTATAGGAACAGGGTGCAATAGTAATGAACCCCGTCTTAGATGCACGAACATTGCCAATTCGAGGTAATATTTTTTCAGCCATGTTCTATTTTTTGCTCTGCCTCATATGCCTTATGCTTATTATGGTTATACCCAAAATGGGTGTAATTATTCTTCTATAGGCCTAATAAAAATTTGAAGCCAGTCGTTCCCTACGCAAAATGAATAGAGGACTAGGTCTACGCTTTAATTTCCCTGTAGCCACATAGCCCCCCCCATAATGTCTTACGTGACATAGCCTATAGAGTACCGAAGTGAATACGTCATGCGCACATTTTGTGTGTAAAAGGCATTAGTGCAAGAACCAGCACGTGAACCAACACACGCGCGTACTCCGTTCGTTTGCACTGCACTTTCTGGTTCACAGTGACGTCACACTTCGGTACTCTATAGCATAGCCTACATACTAGCCCAGGTGGACTCCCTGGTTGTACTTCGTAATGAAATGAAGGCAACTTCTAACCTGGGATAGCCTTAGCCCCACTAGTCCAAGGATAAATCGGGAGTGAGAGTCCGTGCCACACTAGTGGGGCTAACAGCATACATGATGTACAGTGTACATGACATACTGCTTTGACGTGCATGCACCAACGTAACGTGACCAAGACTTAAGAGTAAAAATGAATCGAAGTTATTTAGCACGCCATTGTAGCTCGTTATAGTCATCACATGTTGACAGGTTTTGGACTTGTTCATGTACATGTATACATGTATATTACAGAACCTCTACCCACATGACATACTTGCCTACTATGCCAGCTCGCTGAACTGTCAGGTACTCGTACTAGCGCTATGCCCGCGCCGCTGGCATGCTCAAGTTGTGTACACACTTACGTACGTTGCGTCGCATGGCGATAAGTTGATTGTACTTTGTCGAGGCAATGTTTAGTTTTCGCTAAAAGCATGCAACCTTAATCTGCAAATAAACTACTGCATCTTTGATCTGCAGATCTCGTGCATACTTATAGATTATGTATTTTCCTTTCTCATGTAGAAAGTAGTAGGATTCTGGTTAAATGCAAGTATCTTGTTAACTGTAGGAAAATTCAGACACGAAACAAGTCTAGATGGTAGTGGCCAATTCTGGAGGGCGCTCGCCGCTCCGAAATCAGCAATATTCACTGTAAAACCTTTGTTGAACGCGGGTGCGAAACCTAAAAAACAACGAATACATTGACAGATGTATCCCTTCTCTTTCCGAAGCTGATTTTTAAACTTACAATATGCAGACGTACTCCTCAGCCTCGGGAAATTCACTTTTTGTGGTGACTGGCTGTCTGTAGTCACTGTCGCCGTGAAAACTTGGTAGTCACTCCCCACCTGTGCGTTTTGCAATTATTGTCAGCTTGGGGAGAGGCATTCCGGGGGGGGAACCACATGCCAATTTTAAAAACTATTTGTTTTATAGAAAGTGTCGACACTTTATCACATGTACTTTCCTTTTGAGGGATTTTAATCCCCCCCCCAAAAAAAATGATGCTCTTCATGAAATGGAAAGTCCAGATTTACAAGGCTCCTTTCCACTTTCCACTCGGGTCTGTAGCCACTTACAACGGGGCATTGTTGTTTTTCATTGTAATTAATAACTTATGCCCAAAGAGGAACAGGTTGAGAGCTTCATGGGCATCAATCATGGGGGACGGGGGGACATCCCCCCGTACCTTCAAGTTGGGGGATATTTTATTACTATATACATGCACTAACTCATATATAAGCTCATCCAGACTCAACTGATGCAAAATATCATCCATATTGAAAAACCAGAAACCTCGAGAGGGACTACCACTTAGGGGTGCAGTCTACTAATATAATTCGAGTGAGAATTTCTGGCCAGCTCACTCTCGCAATTCAAGTGCCTCCCACAGTATCATTCCAAAAAGGAGAATGTTTGTTGTTTGGCCCCCAAAATGGTGAGATTGTGTAAATCGTTGCCAGGATCAACTCCCTGGGGCTTTTATCTGAGAGCAGAGTGGCTAAAAAATACCGCTAAAAATGGTCCTAAGTGCCCGAGAAAGTTGAAGATTGCCACTCGAAAAATGGCTGCAAGCAGACTTCGGAAAAATCACTTTCCGGGGGGTGATGTCGTTTTGTGGGTATAATTAAAAATTTAATTGATTAAACCACAAAAAAATAAAACGAAATTCAAACATGTGTTTCAGAAATCTCAGGGATGTTGGTATGCATGTCATTGGGCCCTGGACAATGCTGATTTTACACTGTTTTCAATGGGGATTGAATTAGTGGAGCGCATTCGTCTTGAACTTAGTTGAGTTAAATTCAGGATTACGGCCTGATCACTTTTCGTCTCAATTCTATGGGGGTTAGCCATGAAAATCTTTTTTTATTCGCCTTTTCCCGAAGATACCCCCAAACAGTAGTAAAACTACACGGTGTACTCAGCTCTGAATGTAACCGCCCGGCTCTATTTAGTTAAAATAGGTGGAGCTTTATGCGAAAGAAACACCCCGAACTGGAAACTACCAGTCCCAAACAAATTCGTTATTTATAAAAATATTCTATGATCCCTCTTGATTATGGCCTGTCTTATTGTAAAAATCCCTTGGGACCAGGAAATATTAATGAGCTCGCGCGAAGGAATACAACGATTTGGAGGAATGCACCCTTCAAGGAGATCAACGAAGAGTGGGTGCGTATCTTAGCGCGTAAATGCATTTTGACGCGAAACGCTCGCGTAATCGTACTAAAGAACTGTCCTCCACAAAGCTCCACTCACTGCTAAGGTCTTTGAAAGTGTGCATCCACATCGATGACTGCCTGAGTTAACGTTGAAGTCGCAAATATCTTGTAAAATAGCATATTCCGATCCTGATAAGCAATAACAATGAGAGGGGGAAGCGGGCAGGACCGGTTAGATCTGAACCGGTGCACTGCTGCCAGACTCAGCGCGGTGACGGGTATCGCCGCAGACACCGCCAGTCGCATCATTGCATACCGCCGACGCAAAAAGAGACTAGCTAGCGTGCGAGATGTTTTGGATGTGAGAGGGGTGACGGAAAAGGATTTGGAGGTAAAAAGCATTATGTGCCACGCATTTGTTTTCAGGGATCCCCATTTGGAAAGCATTGCGCACGCGGCGGACCGTGACCCTAATTCCTGATGGCGTGTGCAAAACCATATTAAATAGGAGGATTTGCGATTGTCAGGATAGGCCTAGGCCTACCAGTGATATTCTCTGATGTCGATGCCCCATAGTTCGTCATACAGAAGAAAAAACGTTATTTATATTGTGTGAAAACGGCTTGATGCCACTTATCATTTGGATCCCCAAATAAATATAAACAATCCCTGATCGTTACACTAAAACTCATCAATTTTGAATTTTGCTTTATGGGCATTTGTGTGAGGGAAAAAATGGCCGTGTATGCGGCTACTGCTTTTCCCGTATTCCTTTGGCACTATGTCTACTCTTCTTTTCTCCCCATCCTCTTGTGATCCCCATTGTAGATGCTCAGGCAATCTACTCAAGTCCGTCGGCTGACTTCGCCGCGTTCTCATCAGGCCAAGACTGACAAGAGTCCTGTACTCAAGAAGTCCTCTCGGAGGACCGCCACAAAATATGTCCCTTCCCCAAAACAAAGGTCAACAAAAAGTCAACAATGGAAACCCAAGCCTGCAACATCCAAGAAGGGCACACAGACACTCGAGACTGGCAGTTCCTTGGAAACGAGAGTAAAAATTTCAGCTTTTAATAGAAAAAAGGGGAAGACGCTACCCATAAAAAGAACAAAGGCCAGCAAGGTCTCCAAGAAGCCCCCTGAAAATGCAAACGAGGTAAGGAAGCCAGAGAAAGGGAATCAAAGTTTTATGATAAACAGACAATCCTCACCAACGGGTCTGCTACTGTGCAGAGAGGCGGATCGACTCAAAGCATCTGAAGGTTTGGACTACGTTGGTACCTACGGATCCCCTAGACCCCTCCTGACACTCTCTAGTCAAGGGGTTGGAGTGCAGCAGGCGAAGGCACAGATTAACAATTGCGCCATCACCGTGCACTTGATGGAGAGAGCGCCGCTGATGTCGCCCATGGTGACTGTTAACATTCCCTCTTGCGTTCTGGCTGAATCTGCAGGAGTGGTGGCTATCACTGAAGACAAGAGTTCCTCACATGAGACGCCGAGCAGGAGACTCGACGAAGACACTGCTGCACAGAGTATATTGGCAAACGGACTGAGACAGAGAAATGAGCCCAAGCAGTCGAGCCCTGCTGAGATCATCAACAAAAATGACCAGAGTAATTCCAACAACCAACGGCCAGAGAATGAAGGAGACGAGGCCGGGAGAGTGAGTCCAGTGAAGATATTCCCTGGGGATCAGCAGGAGGGATATTTGGCAGGATCTGAAACTGACCATTCGCCTTCGAATTTTCTGCCAAATTTACCATCCCCCGTTGACCACACACCAATATCTCTAACAGTTGGCAATGATAGCGAGATAATTGGTTCCAGACCTACTGGAAGAAGGAAAACTAGATCGAGTCACAAGGGCACGGCCGAGAAGGTACAACTATGGCTGGAGAACTCCTCCTGCTCTTCCAGTTACTTCAACCCGGAGAAAACGAGTGTAGGCCTGCGAAACTTGTTCGATGGAGAGCCTAAGAGCCAACTGGCTGAAAAGTCCTTAATAGCGGGCACTGGCCCGTTGCCGACGACGACACAGGCCGACGATGAATCGGAGATGGTTGTTCAAAGTTCACTCGGCAAAGTGCGGTCTGAGTGCAAGAGAGAGTCGGAACGCGAACGGGACCTGCTGACGCCAGTTGCTGGAGGTGCAGCGGGTGGGAACGACAAATCAGTGCAAACGCCTCCGTGCTCTTGTAGATCTTGTCGGCGGAAGAGACGGGCTAGGAAACGGTCGGCTGAAGCGGCGGGACAGCAGTTTGAACACATGGGGACCAAGGACAATTTTTTCCCGAAAAATCAAGAAGAGCTAAGCACTGCCTGGTGCTCGCTCCTGTAAATAGCGGTGGTGTGATCAAAATAAGCGGTAAAAAATTGTAAAAAATTTGATTCAACAAGTCTGGGGGGAAATGTTTTAAATGTACGGGGACCCTTAAATTTAGGTCTAATCCTTTTGGAGATTTAATGATAACCCGCGAGTCAAAGGTTCATCATAAACTTTAGATTGAGACTGAGGCGACTCATAAACAAAAGTAACTTAATTTGGCCGAAGCCATTTTGAACGGGGGAATGTGAAATGGAAAATGTAAGCACCCGCGTTCAAAGATAGGCAGGGTTTCACCGTTCACAGGAACTCCGTAAAATTGAAAAGCGGGAAAGGGGGCTGGCTCGACACCACCTTTTTCCAACGACTCTTTACAAAGCAGACAGTGGCAAATGTTCACACGACTAGTAAAGGACATAAAGTGAACTCTTGAAGCAAGGGGAACTTAATGTTGGAGGGGGGCACGCACTTCCTCGTCAATGGTTGATGCCACGTCACCTCCAAGCAAGGTCTACGGAACACTCGGATGCCTAGGGCCGCTACAGACTACGCAATTTCTCCCTGACCATAATGTCAACCGTACCATTCGTTTACAAAGAATCACGGTTACCTTATGTGAAAAAAAGTTGAACACTTTCTAGTTTACAAGGAAACAACGCAAAGTTTTAACAGACGCTTTCCTCTTTCAGGAAACAGCAATGTTCTTTTGAACGGGCCCATATCGGATCCATGTACCTGGCGGTTCCAATGTACCTGAGAAGCATTTATGATTCATTATTATGAAAAGAAAACCATTGCTTGGATGATGCTAACAGAAACTGATTTTTATTTGTAAACTGACATTGGTGTACTGATACATGTATGTGAAATTATTTAAGGAGAAGGTTGTAGCACACTTAACTCCCTTATGCAGATTGCAAGTGTCGTCAGAGTGTTGGCCACAGTGGTAGCATCTTTCAGATTGTTCAGTCCGCGGGTCCAAAAACGCTGCAGGCAAATTCATTGGCCTATTTGAAACAGTTGTGGGTAATTTTTTGTCTTTACTCACAATCTGCTAGCTCAAGGGCCCAGAAAAAGGACCCATCGTCTGCAAGCGCCATCTCCTCTCCCCGGTACCGGTACTCGTTCTATAGCCATGCTCCGACCAGGTTCCCCCCCCCCAGGAATTGTCTCTCAATTCTGACATTATATTAGCAACTAAACCTTTCAAGTAACCTCCACATCAGTATTTCTAATCAATATATCTAATATTTCACCTTTCTTCATAATTGTTGTCTCTGTTTTTTATAATTAAACCTCAATATAATGCTGGCTGAAGGAAATGTAGCATTTCTTTGAAATCGAAACTTTAGTTTTGGAAAAATATTTGACTGTCACAAATTAAAACTGGTGTTTAGAACTAATGTTTTTAACGTTTTCTAGATACGCAAACAACATCAGGGAATGTGTCAATGAGGATTTAGTTCTGATTAGCTGCTTTTAAGACCCCTAATAATCTTTCTAGATTTAATGGGTTGTCTCGTATAACTCTGTTTTGCTTCCTCGACGGTTTGCCCAAATTTAAATGCAACAGCATCAAGCTGGAAAGCTGTTTTTCTGTCCCTTACTTAAGGCCAGTCTGTATTTTGCTTTGTTATTAAAATTAAGCATTACTTTATTTACCATGGATTCCAATTGCCAAGTCCAAAGCCCGAGGTTTTTCGATTCTTGCTTTCATTCAGCTTTCTACAGGTTTGAGAAAAACTGCCTTCTAAAACAGGTGTTCGACTCACCTGGCCACTCCGTCCTTTCGTAAGGATGGGTAAAAGATTGCAAAACAAAGTTGGGTCGTATCGCCCGTAAGCTGGTCTAGGAATCCCTATGCTTCCCTTATACTGCCATTCCAAGTATCTGGCATACATCTCAGGATGAGAATCCAACATCTTCAGATAGTCTGCCAGATCTTTTATATTTTTAAAATCACCGATGTAGATGAATGAATTTGGGGGAAGCAGCTCTTCGTAGACCTTCCGTTTGGGACCATATACGATGGGGACCACCCCTTGTGTTAAAGGTTTATCCCAAACTTTCTCCGTGATGTAATCCTCGCACTCAGAATTCTCCAGGGATAAATAGAATTTGTACTGTCGCACCAAGTGCACCTTGCATGTGGCTGACCACCTGGGTTGACATTGGAGATTCCCGCAGGCTCCGTATACGTCAACTTGAATGTAAGTCTTTAACTGTCTTACAAAACGCTCCCTTGGCCAGGAAGTGCTTTTGCAGTTACTTGCCATCCACAAAGTCATCCTGGTCTTTCCCTGCAGCCACTCATCAGGAGTTTTTGTCTCATTGACTGTGGGTATCCCAGGCTTGTAGAATCCGTATGGCGTGGTGATGTCAGATGCCCGGTGGTAAGTCCAAAGAGCGTTGGCTGTTAAATGCGCTCTTTTAAGGCTAGGTTCGCCTTTATTTGACCATGGCGATTCCCACGAGACGTATATCCACGTCTGGTTGGGATTCATGTCTACCGGTGGTGCTGGATTTGGAGTAATGTCTCTATTGAAGTGAAAGATGACAGCATCCATTCCTGTGAAATTATTTCTGCCGTCCGCGATTGTGACTTCAATGACGCATTTTTTGCTGCACTGTACGTCGGCACGGACAGCTGAACCTCCTTTTGAATTTTGCACCAGGCACTTCAGCGCAGCACGCTTCTTTGCATATTGATTATCTCTGTCGTATACCTGGACCTTATAATCACACAGGTCCACAATCTGTGATACCGTAGTTTTCGCGCGAGCTGATCTTCCCAATATGTCCTTTGCGGTCAGTGTGTCAAAACTTGAGCCGTTACCGTCCACAGAGATGGGATGGCGCCCTTTAAAATTGTCCATGCTAGTTACCTTGACAACATGTTGTAAAGATGCCTGTTGCTTGATGAAATAACTGTTAGGTTTATTATCAACCAGAACGAGTCTTAGTAAAATGTATGCTTGTACCAGGACGAATCCGGCAGTGACCAGGAGTGCTTGTCTCTAACAAGAAACAAAAAAAGAGCAGAGAACGTCATTCACTCGAAAAGGGCAAAATTTGGAGCTAGGTTGTTCACCTCATTGAAATAGGGATTTTTTTTATATACATATGGTCATCATGCCTAAATTTTTGAATGGCTCTGTGATACTTTTAAGGGCGAGAGGCTGAAACCCATTCCCGCCACCATGGACGTCGTGAAGGGGACAAGGGGGCAATTGCTTCACGGAAAAACATGTAGATAAGAAAGAGGGGGGAAATGAAAATAAACAGAAAGGAATGCGAAGAAAAAAGGAGAGAAAGGGATGCAAGTTATGACCAGAAGGGTATGAAAACAACTTGGAATCGACCTCTTTCCACCATTAATGCTTTGCCAGTTTGCCGGGGTGTGTTCGAATAAATCCCGGCGACGCGCATGCACGTCACTGAAGCCCCCCCCCCACACACACACACACCCTGTTGTCACACCACCTTAAAATAGACCAAACAAATTGCAGTTGGGGTCGAAAATTTACATGTGTAAAAGCACGCTTAAACTGTCGTCTTTTCATACTGTAATGTCTCCAGGGAAATCCTCCCCTTTCTATATCTAATCAGTTACAACATCTAGGCCTACTCCGCTTTAATGCTTTGACAAGTTCTGAAGTTCACGTGAAGTGGATGTGGTGGTGTATCAGATGCGGGAGAAAATAGTTGCCAAGAACCTGCAAAGTCTTAACTATTCTAATTATTAACACTTTCAAAGGGTCTGTAAACCTTCGACCACAGCTGTGGACTCGGCGACTTCTAACGGCGCTTGCGGAACGAAGGCCAAAAACCTTGAGAGTTACCAGCATCCCCCCCCAAAAGGTTGCCCTACTCTCTTCTCCACATTTCCCCCAAAGAGGTGGCCCCAAAACGATAATTCCTCCCAATAACCGCACTGCATTAAGTACGCACTTGCCACAATTTCATCTAACATCTGCATTTTTCTTCATATTTTTAAATCTTACTTAATGTGCGACCCGACCCATACACCCTGAAATTTTGAGAATTGAGAAATCACTCTGATAAAGTGTTGTGCTGAATAATGCCTGACATAAACTTACCAATACAGCCATTTTATAGTGGACACGATTGAAAAGAAAGCTGTGAACGTTGAGTCTTTCCAGAACTGTTAATTCCCACAGCCATCAGTAGTGACTAAAAGACTAACACTCGGATGATCAACCTCCATTATCATAAATACCACCTTTCACGTATTGTGTAGAGATTCTTTTGTCTATTATGGTTGTCGAATGAAACAATAAGCGTCTATACCATTTCACCGCGAGGCCAAACTTCTTGAGAAATGCTGTCGTAAGACCACACTAATGATCCAAGGCCGCTCCATTGTCATTTGAAAAATTTAGCACGAACACAGTTCGACGGCAGCGCAATAATGCATTTTTACTGACAAAGTACATGCCTTAACTTTCGGTAAACAGGTTCATTCTTTTCTTTAAAACTCATTTGCTTCGGAGATTTTTAGAGAAAAAAGACAATGGCGTGACTTTCTTTCTGCCATTTTTTTATTGAATTCCAGCCACAAATACAACTGCCAGTGTCAATCACTGGCCGGGACCAACCATTTGCAGGTGTCTTTTGACAAACTGAAGTTTCAGCCGTCTTCTGATCAAGGACCAATGTCTGCAATTGGATGATAAGTCAAAAGCACCTGCTATCGATACTATTCATCTCACCAATGATTGACTCTCATGCTTTAGATTATACCAGTACTATTTATGCATATAGTTTTAATCTTTTATTCTTTTAAAAGGCTTATGCAACAAGGCGTATCCACTTCGAAAGAGCTTGCAGTTCAACTTCAAGAGTGCAGGAAGAATTTCTTTGGCGGATGACCTGCGACATACACAAGCAGCTCTTTCCAGCGATGAAATTCTAAAAGACATTATTCAATCATGCTGCGGGTCCAAAGTTTCAAGATGTTGATTTTTTTTCAAGACAATGATCATAACGAAACATCCAAGTCAACTTTCTTTGTGGACCATCCTATGGCACTGTGTGAATATTACTGACTCGTTCATTGAGATCTTATCGATAGTACGAGGAATGGGTAAAAAATTTAAGTGGGGTATTATATTAACAAACGCACAGAAACTTGGGCAATTGCAACTACCACACTCTTTGGCGGTAACTACAACTACAGCATTTGTAATGCACTTAGTTTGAAGCAAAAAAGCTGGTTTTAATTCATGAAAAACACACCATGGTTTGGCGATTTCAAATATCCTTAATTTGATTTTTAGTTCAAGCATTCAGTCGCACAGAATTCTATAACAGGAAGGCGGTCTTTTTTGTAGATTTAAGCCAGCTTTCGACATCGTGAGGCTCTTCACGGATAAAATCTTGATACTTGCATGAAACAACTGCCTACTCTAATGCTATAGTCTACAGGAAAAAAAAGAAAAATTAAATACTACACAAAACTTCAGTCAAGTGACTGTGCAAGTCCAGAAAATTATCTTTTCTTGATAACAGCAGTGCTGAATTGAATTTCACAGTTTCATTCTCAAGTTACACCATTTTGCAAGGAAAATGCGACCAAATCATTGCTTGATCCAATTTTCTATGTGTAGTCAAGTAGTCATCTGTTTAAAATGCGACACACTTGCAACAGAAATATACTTCCTTCTAAGTTTCAGTCCGACAAGATGCCAGAATACAAAAGCTAATTTCCACTTCTCTGATGCGATGATTAACTTTGTAATTTCCCTAGGTAGTTAATAAGGTCTGGGGACAGACGGGCTGATCTGGGGGTGGTGGGGAAAGGGGGTTCAAGGTGTGTCTGTACCACCTTTTTGTGCAGACTGATTGACAAAAAGGGTTCATTGCTGAAAGAGCTAGGATACCCCTTCAATGTTGTCTCTGATGTTGTTTGTTACGATGCAATTTTTTTCTCCTGAGAAGCTTTAGATGTTTTCCAGTGGTGCAATATGATCATTTCAACACCAATTTTATGACAAACATACAGACAGGTTAACCAAATATTTTCCCATTCACGTGGCTTTCAAAGACCAAAAGGGCAAAACCTCATGCAGGATTGAATTGAAAGTTCAGTTATACTCACAATGAATATCTTCAAGTGTGCCAAATAAAAAAAATGGGCATGGGAGAGCCAAGATCTTGGTAGGGTAAAGTCTACACCCCCAGCTGTGACTATGAGACCGCCCAAAAGCCCTGCTCGATCTTTTAGGGTTAAAGTACAATGGACGCATTTGCATATATGTAATACATAAGTTAGACAGCACCATATACCAATACAAGGACCAGTTTACTAAAACAGAGTTCAGCCTCTAGATGCAAATGAATCAACTGTCTGATTTGATCCGTCTCCCCCCAGAACTCTCAGCGCATTCATGCACAGCCATCTTAAACAATAGAAACGTTTATTCAAGCACATGAATTACACTGAACACACCTCCTTAAAAAAAAAAATTGTGCCCTTAAATCCATGTGATCTAAACTCTCCCTATAATCAATGCATCGACGATGCTACCCTTCTTCATTTCTTTTACTCCATCAGTCTGAGAGGGCAACATGAGAAGGGCATTGGCATCTGCCATGCTCAGAAGCCTGCTGCTCATCTGGCTCCCTGTAATGGTTGCCGTGGGAATGAGTTCGTCTCCCTCCCAGGCCAGCTTGACCCGCTGGAATTCTGGTCGTGGGTCCAGTTTGATATCGGATGCAACCTGGAATAATGGGCGAGCAAAAAGCATGTTACAGATTGACATTTAAGAAGGCTAATAAAATCAATACAGCAAAGCACGTCTGTGCTACTCTGACATCATTCTGACATCACTCGGTCCATTACCTTGGCTTTAATCTTTGTCAAGTTGGGGTTGGTATATCCCATCATCTTTCGCAGGGCAGGAAGAACAAACAGGTTAAAGGTAACGATGGCAGAGGCTGGATTCCCTGTGTGAAACAAGATAACATGCCGGTATTATTGCACAATTGTTTATCATACCATGAAACGATTGGGAGATGTGTCTCAAGCTAATTTTGGCCTGTGTTCCTTGTGCAGCGCAGATCTCTGTGATAGATCTCATGAAATATTGCACAGAAAAAGAACCAGATAAAAAGACCAGTGCAAAGACCACACACACAGCGCTCTTTCAAATGGCTCCAACCGTGAGTCAGTGGCTAATTTTTATAACTAATCAAGGTGTTAATGCAATGGCTGGTGAAGCTATCCAACTGATCATAACAACCACTCATGAACAACTACATGCATTATCACAAATGCAATCTTTGCAGTAAATTAAAAACAAAACCCCTGCCAACTACGTGTAAATTTATTTTCCCAATCCTCAACTATTATTCTTTCAATATATTACAATTTGTATGTTAATGACTGACTACTTAGTTTTTTGTCAGTGTAGACAGATAAAGAGTTGCCAAGACATGCAGCATGTTAACTGTCTGCATGCAACATACCTGGCAAGGCAAAGAAAAGCTTCTGGGAACTCTCAGAGGTGATGGTGGCAAACGAAGTAGGTTTCCTGAAGAGACAAAAAGAACAAACTCACTTCAGACATACCACAAAAAGTTCAATATCCTCAGGCAACTGGACACCAAAAACACAGTGGATAATCAAAGGCAAATTCTTTTAAAGTTGCACCCATCCCTCTATTTAAGCCTTCCATCAGACAATCAAAAAAAGACAGAATGACAGGGAGAAAATTGTCCATGTCTTGACAACTCGCCCCGGTTTGAGGAACACCCTCCCAAAGTGAACCTTGGCGTGTATGCCAACCATGAGGCAGTACTTGAGCAGGTCTCTCTCCCCCATAGACACGCCCCCCGTTGAGATGACCACATCGGCCTGGCTGACGGCGGACTTGAGAGTGGCTTGCAAGCTCTCTGCACTGCATGGAGATCAGAGAAAGTGGGATCATGACACAAAACCGATGTACCTTAGCTAGTTGGGTAGCATGAGGTAAAGCTGCCATGTTTGGCATTTGTACAATTACTTTTGCCTTTCACAGGTCACAGGGCGGACATGCTGATGAGCACAGAATGTGAAATTGAGGAGCATAAGCAACCAAGTTCTTAAGAGGTTTGAATTTGAATTAGTGTCCTTAACCACTTCGTGCCGAGGTGCCCAGTACAAGGTACCTTGGGTTTGTCTGCATAGCTGGGGAGCCCGAAATCGGACTAAAGAGCTGGGCCTTGTAACAAAAGACCATAATGGGAACAAAAGACCGAGCTGCTGGGAATTGCCAACATTTTGTCAGTTGTCAATAGCGGAGGAAATCCATCAATATTTTGTAAGATTATACCACTTTTTGTGGCATTCAGCGCGAGCAGATCACCACTGGGGACAAAAGCGCTCAAGCACTCCAGTGATGAGCGATACAATATCGCTGCACGCTAATCTAGCCCGTATTGAAAAGACACCAGCAGTGCACTGTGCCAGTTTTGGGAACAAAAGAAACTTATGTAACACCTCACAATCGGGGCTCTTTTTACAAGGTTGCAGGCCTGGCTGAAATACTCGGGCATCAATAGATGTTGTCTGTCAGATTAGAGTAACCACCAGACAGTCACTCAATGGGGTTTAGGCATTCAGGAAAAAAGATATGAATTTTTGAAGATTTTGAAAACCAAAGATATTGAAAATCACCTGGTTTAGGACACTGCATTTTCAAAGGCACCTGACAGCAAGTGGTTAATGAGGGTTTAATAATGGACATTATTGCCGCGGCACACTGCAGCAAAGCAAGAACACCTGCTCCTGCGCCATGTGCAAAATCTACTCACTTGTCCTTGGCAATGCCCAGATCGACACAGGGAAATCCATGTTCAGCCAGAGCAGACAGGAGGGTGGTTCGATTGCTGTCAAATATGTGCCCCTTCTTGCATTCCTGGTGAGGTTCACACAGCTGTCAGTGCAAGAAAAGATAGGATTACACCCTGACTCATTGTTGAAAAAAAATCGGAACTAGGACTCAGACTCGTGTCTGAAATCAGTCCATTTTGGAGGGGGCTGGCCATCAGGAATCTGCCTGAGACATGGAACACAATAAAGGGGCCACTAAGTTCCCCTTGTGGTTTTTACATTTTTGAACAACCTATTCTACACTTGAATCACCAGGCAGGCTTCAATTGGAATGAAACCTTGAAAGGTTATCATGTTTTTAACATAACTCTATGCCATTTTAATGCAAAACATGACACGTTAATTTTACTTTCGTCCATTATGAGCAGCAAGAGGGATAATGATATTCCCAAAGCAGGAACTGTTCTATTGTCTCTCTCAAACTACAATCTACATGCTCATTCATATGTAGAAAATGTTTGCCGAGTGCTGAAGTACCGGCAAAAATGTATAAACATTTATGGAAACACTGCTAATGTGACTGGCTCCCTTGTGTTTTGTGTCTAATATAATAATGCTCAGTAATAGGTAATAGTCATGCAAAGTATTGTTGTGGTGCATGAATCTGTGTAGATATGCTGTATTTACCACAGGACGGAAACACAAAATGAGCAAAGGCCCAATCCTTTATCAATTTTTGGGGTTTAAAATAGTCCACTATGAGCATGTGTTTAATCCAGTCTGAGCTGCCAAACGGTACACTGAAAGACGAACCACACTGACCTCATTTCCTGTTGACACCACAGCGACCTTTGGCATTCGGTAAGCAGGTACATGGGTCACACCAACAGAAGCCAAGAGCCCGAGCTCTGCGGGTCCCAGCCTGGCTCCTCGTTGCAGGATCACCTGGTGCTGCTGGATATCCAATCCGACGGGCCTGTGGGGAAAATGATATCAGATTCATTCCAGTGATAGAAAACCATGGGGGGAGGGGATGGCACATGAAGGGAGTTATAGGTGCTTCCTGCTTTTTTCCAGAAATTCAGTATCCTAACTCCGTTTCTGGATCCCCACGGGAAGGAAATGTGTCACTTGTTCCTAGCTGATCAGAGCAGCATTGTTAAGAACATCTACACAGCATATATCTGAGATGGGAAGGTACAAGTTCCAGAGTTGACACTGACTAGAGGAATATATCTCATCTTGAATTTATTATGTACAGCACAATAAAATATGGACAGCTAGTGATGGAGATGCAAATAAATATCACAGGTAAGGCTTGGTGGAGCACTCCTCCTAAGGTACAACAGGTTGTACACATTCAGATGAAAACTGGTCACATGTACTCAGCATCACACCCTCAAAGCCAGTACATACAGAATGTAACTCATACTGGTGACTGCATGTACACTCCTATATGCAGGCCATGTACCACTAACCAAGCTCTTATCCCGTTTCATGCAATCATGCTCTATATCAGAACTCATCTCGTTTTGCAGATACCAGTGCGGCTTGCTTGATCACAACTGTAGTTTTGCACAATGGCAAAAAAAGACAGATGTGATGGACAATTTCCCTGGTATTCCCTCTCTATAGAGACTGAAGATATGGCTCGCTCTTATGCAAGATTGATATCCCTTTGATAGAGCAACACCGCGTGTTTGCACATTTCAAGCATGTTTGGTGCAGGCCACACTTGAGTGCATGCAACCGATTCCCGTTTCAATTTCAAGTGCATGCTGACTAAATGCACAAACCGTCACAAATCCCCCTGACGACCTGTCTGTTTTTTTGTTGGTGGGGGAGTATACTCCGAGTAAATAGACTGACTGCACAGGCCGGCAAATAGAGTGATTTCACATTAGCACCGTGTGCGCATATCCGCTTCGAAACCGAGGCTCTCTGTGTTGAACTTCTTCGCGCGCACCCGCGGAGTCCACACAGTACATGCAGTATCCGGTTCGTAATTGTGACACCACTTCAGTTTAAACCATGCCCACTGCACAAGAAACACGACCATTGCAGGTACGTTACTTCGCGGTAAATTGTCTTTATTTTTTCTTTTGATTTTACATGTCGAGTCATCCTGAAAGATTCTTCCACAAAAATTTGCCGCCTGAAAAGTCTGAATTTAACATTCTTTTATGTATTTGTGTCTTGAATCCTTACTTTCAATCGTCTGATCGTATTAAGAACTGAAACCGACACATACAGCCTCATTTTCAAACGCCGAAGTGCGCAGATCGACGCTAAAAGCGTTGTGTTGGGATCCCTTTACAGGATCAGTGAACCAGCATAATGCAAAATGCTGTTACTGAGTGGCAAAATGACTTCATTTATTCACATAGAGGGCCCTACTCTAGTTACCCATCAATGACCACTGGTGACGTAGCTCACCGTATGTCCTGCCCTGGCTTGACTGCTTTCAATATGTTAACCTCCAATTCAATCTCACCCTGCAATATAAGAGTACCAAAAGCCATCAAGATAAAGTCACCGTGTGTGCCAATGCAGTTAAGTCTGTCAATTTAGAAAACAGCACTAGGTATTGGAAAAAATAAATGGAGACCTTTTGAAAAACACTGTGTCATTAAGCATTTGACTGGAAGAGATCAATCTGTTACCTACACAGGCAACATCTTCCATATGTTGCCCCGCAGTTAATCCATCTGTCACTCTTCACGAGTGTTATAACAAAGTCGACTTCACAGGTTCACAAACAAATTCATCAATGTTTAGCCCAAGCTTAATTCACATTTGCCAATCTAACCATCATCTCACCCCATCGGCTTCCTTGAGCAGTTCCGTGGCTTCAACTTCAACAACAGCATCGGCTCCATCCGGCACCGGAGCACCAGTGGTTATCCTGATCACATAGCCTGAAATCAGTTCACTCTTGGGCAGCTGGCCTGCCAGGCTATCACTCAAGACTCGCCGTGGCCCTGGCCCGTCTGATGCTATGTTCAATTAAGTCATGGGCACAAAGTACACGAAGAAATAAAATGTACGCATTACTATCCATTTGGGCTGAAGAGACCCAAGAACTTGAAAAAATTGTGAGAAAAGGAAATCATATACACGAATGTATACAAATCTTGTGACTTCTGTCAAACATGTTGATTATAAATTCAGGATTTGAGAGGGGTAAGGCCAAAAAATGCTAGCGCTGGTCATCCCCCTTGCAGCAACATGTCCTTCAATATATTCAGAGAGAAAAATATTATGTTAGATACAGATCATGCACCTCAAAACAACATCTCGCATCTGACTAAAGCAAGTTATCAAAACTTCTCAGTTCTAGGTGTGCAATAAATATTCATAGTCACTGCAATTTCACAAAAGCCTACAAAAAGACCTGAAATGGATGTGACTTACAGATGACAGCATATCCATCTTTAATGGATGCTCTGAAGGGAGGAAGAGGGTGCTGTGCAGTCACATCATTAGCGAGTATGTATCCCAGTGCATCTGTGGCCAACGAGCGTTGATTAATCAAGGCAGTGGCATTTATGTATTAACAAATTTAATTCTGTACAGCTACGGTTACTACAAACAGAATTCCAAGAGTTCCAAAATCTATTCATAGGCTATCAGTGAGCTCACATCACAATGACTGCAAACAACCACTGACTGTCACATCTTACCTTTAAAGGGTTAATTTAAAGACACTTTTATACAACTCTTTAAAAGACAGTCCACTCTTGATAGAGAGAACAGTTACAACAAAATATTGTTATAAAGAGCAAATTCTGCAAATCCAAATATCTTGAATTCTTACATTTGTTTTCCTACTTCTTGTATAACAATGTCCAGGCTGTGTAGTAGAGTTATCTGTCTAATTCCTGCAACTTTGTTACGCGAGTTGATTGTACACCGTTTGGCCTTAATTAACATTTTTTTCAATTTGTGTTTTACTATTTTAAAGGGTATTACAGTGCCTTTTTGGTTTGAATGCTGAGAATTTCCATGTTCAAGAGCAATCCCGGGATGCAATTCCCGGTAGCAAACCTCAATGTTACATTGACTGGCATGCAAAAACTGTTTCAATTTATATTTAGCTCTCCATGATTTCCTTTTCTTTGGTGATTGGCTGTTTTTAGTGCATAACAGTAAGCCAACAAGCAACCTTCAGTGAGCAAATTTTGGGTGCACAATTGGAACAGAAAATACAGTGAACAGTGCCTTCTGTAAATAACATTGCACCGGTTGCCCAGAAAACCAGGGACATTTTTCTGTTTAGCCACTTGGGTCCGCCTGATGTGTAAACACACACAATTTTCCTTATTTGTTCCGAGGACAAGTACTAGTAGACTTGTTTAAGAATTCTTTTTTTCTCCGCAGTTGACATATGAACGCATCGTGCTTGGTTGGGTCAAAGCATACAAGACGATCCTACGCCTAGACACTGCTACTCAGTGGACCCACCCCCAACCTTAAGTATTTAGAATTGAATTTGGGGAACCCACACCATACATGAGCTAAGTGGATTAAAGACCTCCTTTGTTTGGGTAAGGTCACAAAATCCCAACTAGCAACTCGTTTGTATCTTAACAATTGTGACTGGCTCTAGAAAAATGGGTAATAAGTCGCCAGATTCAGGTTATGAGTTTTTTATATGGCTGGATTCTGTACATCAAACGCTGCAATTTGATATATGAATGACTTCGGTAGTGTGCTGCGTTCTGGAGATATTTAGACATTCACACTATTGGAATCAATACAAGCACTTTTCGAGAAAAAGCCCATTAAGTGTAGTGCTTGAAATCACAAGGCCACATAGGATTTCCTACAGAATGATAAATTTTTTATCTTTATTCATCAGTATCCATGTTTGTAGTCACAAATTATGAAAATATAAATACATGCTATTAAAGGAAAAAACACAAATCATGTTTTTGAAGAAATTTTGCCCTCTCCAAATAGAACAGATCATTACGTGTTTTGGCATTGTGCGACTTATTACCCTTTTTTGCAGAGTGGGTCACAATTGGCAAAAAAAATGAGTGACGCCTGTATACACAGACCTTTTGTGTGTGAAGCGGTTAATGTGTGGAAACGCGCCACAATTTTTACCACGGCAGTTAAAAACTGGGAAAAGAATAACAATACTGATGCTTAAACTCGAGAGCTCTGCCTCCCTACATATTTTATGGACGTCATAGATAAATTGCAAGGTTGAAGAATTTGATGGAAAAAACCTACCCCCAGCACCTTTTCGGGTGAGAAATCCAACGTTAACTGGTCAAAAAGGGCTTTTTCAACACACCACCCTGGTGGGATGTCAAATTGTTTTCATATATTAAACAGTAGTGTAGTTCATAAAAGATGTGTCCAAGAAAAATTAATTTTACAGATGTGTGCCTCATTAAAGCAACAGGAAATATCTCACAAGCAGAGCGTTACAATACATAAGATCAGAATGACCCTTTACTCTTACAAGTTTAGAAAGTGCCCCTTTCAGTGATTCAGACATGCAACTTGGACTTTAAACAAAAACGAGGAAATTTCAATCTGTGCAAGGCTTTGTACAATATTTTGAAATTCTCAGTGGCATAAGTGTGAAGTGAAAGACGAGAAAATCAGCTGATCCGAGGAAAAGCTGCATGCCTGGTGATTTACCCTCCCGAGGTAGAGAGTTACTTACCTTTGCAGTTGATTGTGTGCGGGGCTAGAACTACTGCCTTGCTCATTACCAGAGAGTAAGCCTCATCATATGTTATCATTGGGTATGGTGACGTCCTGGGGCGTCTCGCTACTTTGCTAATATCATGGTGGTGTTCTACATGTAGGTACAAGACAGATGATCAAGGTGAATTAAAAAGTAATTCAAAGCAGATACAGGAAAAGTACTAACGAAGCAAAGCTTTTTCCACAGTGCTGTTTTCCTCCAATAATTCTCTTTCAGTTTTGGGGGCCAACAAATTAAATATGGCATGATGTAAATGAGCACAAGGGGAAGAGGGCGATAGGGATAAAAGGAATCAACTACTGCAATTTACAATAATTTTGTTTATCACTGTGCGATCAGCTGACTCAACCTGAAAAGCTATGAGGATGTATATTATGCTACTGCAACGAGGTCATAGATTTCACTATTTCAGTCTCAGGGTAACATTTCTGTCAACAAATTACATGCCTGTGGAAGTGGAGGCAGGGTCCATTGTAAAAGGGGTGATATGAGATATATTTTTAACATTACAATAATAAACATTCTTACCTGGCATATCAGGAATATCATTACCATGGTGGCACTGCAAATTAATGTGCATAAAATACTTCAGACAAGTTTTGGAATTTTATGTATCATGCCTTTACCAAAAGACCCGGCTATTCAACATCCCCACTGGCCACAATGAACAGCCAATTAAAGACTGACTAATTGTACAGAAATATGAAGCAATAATTATTCTCTGAACGACTGCCCACTTTTACAAAGACCACTATCAAAACCGGTCGGACAAATGAAAACCCCTGCAAAATTTGTTTCACTGTAATAATAGTGCCAGAGTCACTTTAAGAGAATGTGAAACATATGGTCAGCTGGACTTTTCTTCCATGCAGAATCTGCAGTCATTGTGACACAACACATTGTTCCATTTCAATTTTTAACCAATCTGACTGGGGGAATTTTATTAGGGTCACAGCAGATTGGATCCAATCAATCTACATTAGATCTACATGTACATGTAACTCATAGACTAAGACATTCAAATTGGAACTTTGTGAACCAAATCCAACCTGGACAAATAGCAAAGGCAACATAGATGACCAGGCCCACATACAAGACCGGGTGAGTTCAGATCAGTTCAGACATGACAAGACAAGACCAAATCAAAGTGACTATGTAGATCAAACTGATTTCTGGTAAAAAAAGGCACGTTTAGAAGAAATTCCCGACTGGGACTGTGCTAAAATTCTTCATACTGGCTGAAACCAAACAAGCTGGGTCAGACTAGACAGAACACGGCAGATCTGCCAATGCCTACCCTTCATGGGAAAAAAAAATCTGGCAAGAGCCAGAACAAGACATGGCACATTCAAGAAGACAAATGGACATCATTAGTTATCCATATCAATGTACAAGAATGTCTTTCAATGCCTACTGATAATTAAAAGATGAGTGTCAGTAGCACAGGTACTTTCTTTGAGAGTGGACAACAAAATATTAAATACAACTAAAAAGGAGTATGATGGAATCCTTCAGGATTTTATTACTAACAATGTTCCCAAATGCAGTGAGTTTATTGATATCTGGGGAATGTTACACAATCACATGTTCCAGATTATGGTTATTTGTGATGGAAAGATTTTATGAGAATGTAAGAAGACCTTTGGCAGGTTCTTCATGTGAAAAGGGCCAATATTCTATTTTTTAAATACATGTAGGTACTCACGACAGGTTTGCATGGAATTGAGCAACCAAAAATGGTCACAATGACATAACTGAAAAATTGTGAAACAAAAAACTGACTTTAAAGATGAGATGCAACAAATGGTGATTACATGAAATCTCTGTGTAACTTCAAGTATGAGTCTGTGTTTTTTCTCACAAAAAGAATATCAGAATGTATTTTTTATTGCTTTTGCTAGATTATGGCTTTCACAAATATTTTCTCTATTTTTGTTATCTAGAGTTTCTCTATTTTTGGTCGTTGAGGGCCGCCGTCTTTGCCAATCTGGGCCTTCATTGATCTTTTTCTCCTCTGCACTGACTGCACAACTCTCTCTCTGTTCACATTCCTGCCAGCCATGACTCCTTCGTTCTGCAGTTTCTCATAAATTTCCCCGCCAGAGAGTTCGCGATCGGCCTGCGTGTAAATCAAGTCCTGAAGCTCCTCGTCCATGCGCTGCTTGGGGTTCATCCTGCTGGGGCTTTGCCAAGTGACGCGGCCCTCCGGAGGCACGTGCTGTCCAGTGACAGTGACCTTCCATGTTTGGAGGTCTGACAAGAAGAGCTTGAGGGTGACGAGGACAGAGCAGTTGTGACGATCCTGCTTATGTTGGGCACCTCTGCAACCTTTGTGAAAGCAGACATAAAAACATGTTTTCTTTTACTTTGAAGAAAAAGTACTGAGAAGCGATATTCCTCATACATGTACTTCAGGTTGAGGACCTGTCGACACAATCTTGAACCAGCCTTAAAGAGTGTTGAACATCTACAAGGCTGTCTTTGTAAAGATTATCAAACAGCTGATTCCATTTTTAGAAGGGTGTTGGTATGACCTTGTCCAAACAGGCAACTATATGCATCTTCAGGACAGTTACACTCCTGACTTTGGTATAAAGAACTCATATTTTAGCCTCTGATCCATGGTTGTAGAGAATATAAATTTTGCTCTAAAAACGGCAGATGTAGAGCAACATGAATACAGTCCCACATTTAGTTTACAGTGACCACACCTTCTCCAGTGCAACTTTGGATCACAATCAACTTGTCATCTGAGAAACTCACCTTGGACACACTTCCCATAGCTGCCACACTGTCGCAGGCAGTTCCCTTCTCCCGAACACCACAAGTACCATGCCACCACGTACTGGTCCTTCTTGCCTTCTTTGATTTCCGTCCTTAGCACTTCTCCTTTCTCTGTGGCCATAAACAGGTCATCATAGCGACAGCGCTCATTGATGAGGGTCTTCCGATGCCAGGTCTGGAAGGCCAACGCGCTTCCTTGCCGTTGCAGTGTCACCAGGTCCCGCTTGACTGACCGCTTGCCCCTTTTGAGGTTGGCGTCTCTCAGCAACATGTGAGATGCCAAGAAGTTCCTCAGAGGTACCCCTACAGGGATGCTGTACTCCACCGTATCCTTCCTGGATGCTCTCTTCTCTTTCAGCATCCTGGACTTGGAGGACTTCTTCTGAGCCTTCCGCTGTCGCTGTGATTTGCCAAATGGTCTTGGGAGGTCATAGACCCTGTGTTTCTTGGTCCTTGGTTCATCTGCTCTCCGACAGCTTGAATTTGCATCAGTGGGGTCAAACTCAAACACAATGTAGGTACTGTTTTGGCTTCCCTGTCCATTAGCCTTATAACTTGATTCAGAAACAGCAGATGTTGTTCCAGAGTCCAGTTTCTGAATAGCGGATGCACAGCTCTCCTTGGCACTATTCTTTGCTGAAACGCAGTCTGGTCTCACATGATGTTTAGGGTAAGTTTTGATTGTGGTCAATCTTGAGTCAAGCTCAGAGGGGCTTTTATCATATGCGTTTGTTGGTGAGTCATCACCATCACTGCCATCCTCACTACTATTACCACCAAAACAACCATCGCCATCACCATTATCATCAACTTCATCACCACTTCCACTGTCACCATCCTCATCAGAAACACTGCAGTGGCCCTCAGGAGGCTTAAATGTGGAACCAGCAATACTGGACCCATCAGCATGAGAAGTTGTCTCTTGGGCACTAGCTAGGGTTCTGTGTCCACTTTGACAATCTGATCTGTTCCCATCCAAGCCAAGCTTGGTTGGCTGAGTGACTCTACTCTGTCTCTCATCCATCTTACTTATGTGCTCAGAGAGCTCCTTCAAGATACGACTGATCTGGGGACCTGTTTCTTCTCCCCCTTGTGTGGGAGCCTCATCATCGTGATATGAAGATGCCTCCACGGCGACCCCCTTTCCTTCTGGGATCAGGCTGACATTAGATGCAGGGTCAAGCTCAAAACTCACCCCTTGTGGATTCTGCATTTCTTGGCGTGAGGCCTGCAGGTCTTGGAATGTTTGGGAGGCCACTTTTTCCTGGTGTGAATCCTTTGGTGTCAGCGCTTGTGAGTTTTTGTCTCTTTTCCTTCCATGGGTTTGTGAGGATGAGCACAGCCTTCTTTTCTGAAGCAGAGATAGTCAAATGATGTATCTACTCATTTTGCTCATAGTCCAACATAAAATACACCATATACTCCTCAAAGCGTCATCAATAAGATGTCAAACCGTGATACTTGAAATACATGTACAGGCTTTAAAAATCAGCAACTTCATTTCACAGACATTTAACACTGTACACTGTTACTTAGGATTAATTCCAATGACAACCTGGACCACATTCAGTGGAAGGAAGAGAAAATATTTTGGAAAATTTATTCAGGTATCAATTAACATCTTGCTGAGCTTGTAATCTATGTACAACAGCATTTAAAAAGCTACATGTATATACGTGTAATAGGGTAATCCCACCAGTCCCAAATCCTCCAATTTCAACATGATTTTACATACACCCTAGGAGGTTAGGTTAGTATTCAAAATTAAGGATGCGATGGATCATTGGGAACCACTAATATCTAGGCACAAGGTTGGCCCTATCAGGGTAGCCATACACCAACTCACATGCATAGAACATGTTTGAACAAGTGCTACATGTACACATGTCGGTTACATTCTTGAATGGCCTTGTTTCTTGGGGTATCCGACTGGCTCATTAGAAATGCACAGGTCAATTTATGCCTTTTGAATTTGAGATACAAGAATACTGATGAGGATGAGGTGGGGTGGCATGGGTGATATGTGGTTGATTAAGACTGAGTGACTGAGTGACTCTGTGCACTTTTCACAATACAGATTTTACTCCCATAAAACAAAGAGCCGTTTTAATAGAACTGTAGTTGCACAGAAAACTTAAACAGTACAAAAATACAAAAACTCTCAGTGAAAAATAAGGTTCCAACATAAAACACAAAACATAAATTGTAGGTGATCAGTTTGAAGTTGACTTTTCTTCAGGACACAATTCTCCCTAGCAACATCTCCAGCTTTGCAGATTCATCAAGCTGGATCCTGGACAAAGTTGCATCTTCGGCCATGACCAAACTTGCTTCCTGGCTTAAGGGTACATGTAGGTCTATTGTCAGCATGTACATATACATGTAACTGCAACTGGCGAAGACACAGACCTTGCTCTTGGAATAAGAATCGAACCTGACCAAAATGTTTATTTGAATGAAGTAAACATGCCGTCATGGCCTATTGCACTGCCGATTGTCTAGAACCACTGTCTGTGAGAAATGTATCAGAAAGCTCAAGTTTAATACAAAATCTGTAGGCAACATTGGGTTTCCTTGACCGGGACTCTTGGACAACTCAACACAAAAGGTGGCGAGCAAGTCAGACAGGTACTACCTACCTTATGTCCGTGGCTTGCCGAGTGATCATTAGACACCCCTGATGTCATAGACTTATGTGTTGCCACAACTTCTTTACTGTCTCCCCTCAGAAGATGGATGGCATGACGCAGGCCAGGTAACACAAACTCATAGCATTCCTTATCAAACCAACATAAAGGAATCAAGAGGAACACAAGAACACAGAATCTTGGTCATTTAATTTATTTTCTGGTGCACTACTTTTTGAGCTTATCGAGGGGGGTCAGGGATTAACATTCCCAAATTTTGGTGGGAATGAAAACAATTAAAATAATATCTATCAAGCATTTATAAGACACATGGTGTCCAACAGTATGTGTCATTCAAAGGCACCAATATTTCTTATCGTTATAACATATGCAATATGTGAAAATATATCAAATTTAGAATCAGTGGAGCAAAACGAAACACTTCAAACCAAAGTCAAGAATTTACATGTACCATTGAAACGGTTCCTGCAAGTGCTTGAAATGATTTCACATAAAGGTAACTCAGAGAGGATTTAAATGAAGGTATCGGGGCATGTTTATGCACCTTCAGGCACGAACTGACTTCACTGCGACGTCACAACGCTTACCTGGGATCCCTTCTTGCTGCCAGGCAGGTTGATGATCAGGGACTTCCCCCGAGTGCCACATGCAGGTCTGCTCAGGAAATTATAACAAATTACAGCATTTTAACATACTACATGTACTCGCTGGTGACTCATAGCCCGATGTATCATAACAGGAGGATGGAGGTTATTACAACTGGGTGGGACTGTTGACCAAAACAGTGCACTTTCATAACAGTTTCACCTTCTCTTACTGCAGTAGCAACATACACAACAGGGTTTAAGTTCCTGTTTAAGCCCCTCTAAATTTAGACCTCTCTTAATCAACTCTCTAACAACAATATCATAGACTATGGTACATGTAAGCACAACGACATGCCCACAAGAAAAGCGTACACTGTACACTTTGAAATGATACTTATTACTCAGCGAATTTGTGGATTGCTGGCAAGTTAAGAAAGTGTTTTTAACAAACAGCGTTAGGCTGAGCACAATTAATCAATGCAATATTTGAGGGGATAACTATCAAAAGTGAACTGACCAAACATGAATTGTTCACGTGAACATAGCAATATGAATTCCCAAGACTAAAGGCACTGTTGCTATACTTCGTGATTCGGGGCAAGCTTTTGCGTAGTGACCATCATCTTTGGAATGGACTGATTCCTTTGTGCCGTTCTTATCCATTGAGAACAGTGTGTTGTTGCAAGTTGTCTCTTATGTAACTAAGCAAAACCTTGTCCTGAATCATGAGGTATCCACATGATCCAAGATACGTGGTAAAGGGGGACCCCCCTCTTTTCTGTGTTGTGTTGATGGAAACCTTGGAATTATTTTCAGATTTCTGAGAGGGGGAGAGAAGTAGGCACAATAGCGTTAGGGTATACAGCTTGTGCATCACATTGGGGGGTCCTCCTTTACTGCATATCGTGCAGGGTATCTGAGGTACACATAGCAACAGTGTGTTCAGTATGGAGAATTCAAATAGCTACGTGTATGTTCATGTGAATTCAAGGCACTCAGTGTACCAGATTTTATTCAAATTCAACTCGCAAAAGGCTTATTGCTCAGTATTTTCAGGTAGGCTCTTAAAAATGAACTGGTCTTGTAACTCCATTCATACGTTGCCCAGTCACATTTTGCATGGCATATACCCAAGTACAAATCGCAAGGCAGGCTGCAGGCATGCGTTAAAAGCCTCTTTGAGCAATAGGGTGCTTACAACTTGCCACAAAGCACACACACACCTCGGGTTAAGAACGAGTGCAAAATGTATCTCCTAAGAGAACTGGCAGTGTGATCAGCTCACGCACATTTGCATGACATTGCTTGCTAAGCCAAATCCACACAACATTAATTCATTGAAAGTGTTGACACTGAAGAAAATGGTCAACTCAACGTACCTTGAAAGCATAGCTAGTGGTGTGACACGTAGAGACCCCATCAACATAGACAAAGCAAGGCCTGGTGCTTCCTTCTCTATGATAGCCTTAGTGGCCTGTATGTATGAACAGTAACCATTGGAATATTGTATTCCATTTTGTAAGGCAACATAGACAAACATTTGGTCTCACTGTCTTTCTCCTTTACGTTTATCATTCTATGTGTATAAAGTATTTCTTTCTTTGAGAACTACTTAATGTAACACTGTACAAGTAACCTTGTAACTAAAATGGTAGTTTCTTTATAAATATTATGATTTCTTCTTTTTTAAATTTGAAATAAATCAAATGAAATCATATGAAATTGACATGGGACGGAGGGACTGCTGACAACAGTTATGTAGCGCTCATGTTCAGCACTCACTTGTCAAATACTACTGAAATACAATTTTGAAGTTATTTACACTTGTAAATGGTCTCCAATATTGAAATACAAGTACGCAATATCAATATTTGGGAGAGTTAATGAACTACGTTACTTGGGTGTTGATGCCCCATATTGAGCAGGGTAGGAGACATTAGGAAAGCAAGTGGGGTACATTAAAGATGTACATGTATATGTCTCTGTACTGGATGACCAAACAGGAGAGGGAAGGACACAATTGTTAAAACATGAGGAGAGGCCTAATGTATGCTGGCCTCAACTCCTATTCAAATGGAGTTACAAACTTGAAAGGTACATGCCATGTAACAAGCTTGTACCAAATGCCCTCAGCTTTCACTGGTGCTCAGTAATAAAAACACAACCTAGGCACATGGCGTTGATCAGTGGTTGACTGTTGCTGTGTTGCAGCCAAATCCATCGGGAGAACTTGCAAGTCTATGCCAGTCCATCACAAGCCATCCAGTCTCTAGTCACAAGCTACTCATCAAATGAATCGTGACAAAAGCAGTCCCTTGTCACTGTCCACCTGTTACTTATGACTAGTCAGATGCAAGAAGTTGTGCACTCAGGACAATACCATGAATACTGATTGTCTATTTTAAGTCACTTCATATTTATTGTACTTAAATCATTTTGTGATTCCAGATGCTACAAGCAAAAACAGTAAAATGCAGCAGTCAGGTTTTGTGGAATCTTACCTCCGGGGTAACATCTCTCTCAGCAAACCCAGTCCCACCTGTTGTTAGGATCAGGTCCAGTTTCTCTTCATCACTCCAGCTGATCAGGGCATCCTGCAGAAGAATTGAAAAATGATAACGGAAAATCTGTGAACAGAGACCGAAGCAAGGCCAACCTCAGCCGTTCAGTTTAACTGCGGCTACAGATTTGCTAAAACAAATCAAACTGTTCATTCGTGTGGAGATAATTTCTGCATCGTTTGGGTGGAAAATCTGCTCCAAGCAGTAACATGAGAGGGTGTGATAGTGCATTACAATGTCCTTTCGAGGAAACTCATCGCATACGTGTGCAATTCAAGCACGTTTGGCATGGGATGCACTGAGGAGAACACTCATCCAAATTCGGTTTGAGTGTATGCACTAGTGTGCATACAAAGTGTGGACCTCCAAACCAGAGGCCTACATAGTGAAGACCCGTGTGGACTTGCCAACACACTACAATGTATATATTGTCCCTTCTCTCAGAAAATAGCCTCAGTGGTCAGAGTTACTTGGAACAAAATGAATAGGAACAGTCCACGAAATCATCATCAAAAATCCAGCTGGAAGGAGTAATCGAAGTTGTAGAAAAAGGTCCATTTTCCAAGATTTTTCCTGGCCAAAGAAGAACAAACGAATGTCCACAATAGGTACATGTATGTGATACCAGCATGCGTGACAGGCACACGCATAAGCCCAGCCCACCCTAATGGAGAACCTTCTGACCAGTCTACCCCTTCTTTGCCGCCGAGGGTGCGTTTCTACTCATTGCGAATGGGTGATGAGAAGTGGTGCCAAGAACAATGGAAAAGCAATGACAAAGAAAGAATGCCTGATCTTTTGTTAGGATGCAACTGGATGGCAAACATGTACATACCTGGATCTGAGTGCGCTCATCAGGAACAATCTTGGTTTTCACAACAAGTCCCGCCAACCTGCAAACAACATGGATGTAATAGCAGATGTTAAGCAATGCCAAGAACAAGTTTTGCATCAATTACAAAAACTTTAATCATCAAAAGACCACAAACTTATATTGCTGGCTTGTGCATGCTCAAAGTGGTTACAGGATTGAAAGCATATCACTGTGAAAAATGACTGTATGAGTTGCGAAAATTTCATTTAGGTCATGCAGGTTTTTTGCAGATAGCAAGTTTACATTATCAGTTGAAGGCTGAGAAACGAGCTTAAATTTATGTTTGCAGGTATGTGCCCACACATTTTTTGTAGAAACTATTCATGAACATTATGCTCTGAGATATGGAAAACATCTTTTCATCACATTAAACAATCATAAAACAACAGTATATTCCACGGTCAGTGGATTCTAAATTCACATCAAATCTGTAATCGTTTTCCTGAGTGTCTAAAATTGTGAAATTTAACCAAAGCCAAATCTAATAATTTTTAACAAAGACTCACGAATTTTTGTCTATCAACGTGTTACTCAAGACTTGCCACATATCATTTCAAAACAATAATTCAGAACATGACAGGAACCAAAATAGTTCTTTACCCTTGTTCTTGCTCAACAATAGCCTTTAAGTTAGGACCACTGCTGTCTTCATGGGTGCCTAGGTAACACCTGTCACTGACTGAGGAAAAACAATGAAAAGTTCAGTGAGTAAAGGATGTGCAGATTCAGTCTGGATGCTAGCTATTTGGATGCTGGTTATTTTCCTTCCAAAGGCAGTTATCAATACAATGTTTGGTTTGCTTGAAGATGGTTTCAACCAGCTGTTCCCATTTCATGGTGCACACTTTAACAGGTTTTGTCAATACCATGCTTGAAGAGAAGATACATATCCGGTGCAACCACGCTTACATGACCTTTAAGTTACCAATGTTTTAAAAATGGATCCATGTACTGTACTTATGCACTTTCACTACTAGTATGAGCAGGCTTTTTTAAAATTAGAGGCACATCAGCCAGGCACAAGTGGGTGGTTTTTGGTAGCCGAGCCAAGCTATTTCTTCAGTGTACAACTCTGTGAGAGCAAAACTTGGTAATGGATTTAATAATGATAAATCACTAATCACCAGTAATTAAATCCATAGTCACATATAATGTTATTTACAATATGCCAAAAGTGCATGTCCATCATGGTCCATGAACAGCAGACAACACTCACACTGTGTCAATCAATGCCATCTTTGTAACCATGTTATTCTGCTAGCTTTATCATTTTGATTGACTATTCACCCTGAAGCAGAACACCACGACCAATTCTTGGTCATTTTCATGTAACTCATCATTCGTAATTCTTTCAAATTGAAGAGATGAAGTGGAAATGGTGCTCAAGGGATATGGAGCCAAGAGGGGTCAGGTCAGAATGGGATGGAAGAAGTGGGGACGGGCAAAGTGGTAAACTTTGAGGCAAAGTTACCAACTACATTTTAAAGTCGGAGTGTAACACTCCTCATGCTCGCCAGCATATCAACAGCTTGCTAATGCTAGCCCTACTGTAGTGTTTACATGTATACTGCCCTTTGTACTATGGCGGCGTACATGTAAGCTTGCCTAACAGCGATAGCTTGCCCTCGATCCCACACATGTGCCGCTATTACAAGCTCCCATTAGATGAACACTCAGAAACAGTTCCGTATCAGGATATCACTTGACACCTCGTGCACACAAACCCTGTGAGATGGGTCTGAAAAAAATTCTGTGTTTCTAAGTTAATGCTTCAATATTTTCCCTGCTAATTTTTTTTTGCCCCGACTCTACCAAGCCTGGGTACATGTACATGTACTTACCAGTAGCTAGAAACCCTGCCAGATGCATCAGACTGCATCATTTGTCACAGTGGATTGCCTGCCCAAAATACTAACATGTAAGGCTGTGCCGAATGTCTGAATAACCGAATATTTGATTGATTATTGAATATTTGAATAAGATTTTTCAAATTTGAATTTTCAAATGCAAAATTCATGAAAAGGGAGGGAGAAGTTTCTTTTGTTTTAAATGAGAAAAATTGCACTATGGAGGCTTGTTCCAAGCAGATTCAAATGAAAAGCGACAGAAACCTTACAATAATTTAAAAGGTACATAAAATTCAAAAAGAATACATGTACACTTTCAACAGGAAAGAAGTATTATTTGTCTCTGAAAACTTGCTAAATCTTGGCTGGAGATACATGTACTCGTAGGCATGAGAAGCTATTACAGTGATTATAATGCACAACTGTGTACGTTAAATTGCAACTAATTTTTTACAGTATATTTGGATATTCGATCAAATTGAGGGTCAAATATTCGAATAGTAAATTTTTTAAATTGACTCAGCCCTATCAACAAGATCCAACAGGTCAACTCTCCCCAAGGTCAAACAGCCTGGGAGTGTGTGGTTGCTAGTCACCACAAAATCCAACGTTGGCATTGCTTAATGGGACTACAATCCTGAACAAATTTTGTTGGGCCTCCATTCCAAGGACCCCCTTTCAATGTTGGGCCTATGCATGCTGTCTGCGTTCCGGCTGGACATGACAACATTGAGGGGGGGGGAGAGCATATGGCTATTGCCAAGTATCCCAACAATTTTGTCCAGGACTGTAGTCCCAACACGGCTGCTGCTGTTGATTGCCAAGGGCATCAAAGTGCATCAGACTTTTTCAGCTGATGCACTTTGCTGCATCTGGCAGGGTTAGGGTTAAGACATGTTATCGCTAATATGATGGCTAATAAACTTCTGTGACTAGGCGGTGTGATGTTGCATGAAGTTACTTATTCCTTGTTTGATGCTCGACATTCAGCATTGAATAAGTAGCGTTTGATATTCAGGATGCACACCCCTAAAAGCAATGGAGTACATAAGGGACAAAAAACAAACTGTGCCAACAACGTTTTAAGGCTTGTTTGACGCAGAAGGGCCCCATGCCCTGATTTGTGAGGAGTCGTCACTGATTGAGGAGAACAATGACATCAGATTCAACATAATCTCCAGGCAGGGCATGGGTTTGGGTACTTTATTTCAATTTGAGAAAAGTGTGGTGTGATGCTCGGGTTTGCAAGCAAAGAACTCCATCAACAAGACCATCGTCAAAGCCGTTGTAACCGTGGAAAACTGTCTTGCCCTGGTTGAAATGGAGGCCACGGGGTTGCTAAAGTGTACAGAAACTTCAGACAGACTTTGAAAAAAGAAGTTTAGAGCTGGGGCATGGGATTGATGTATATTATTTCAGTTGACTGAAATAATTTCAATGAAAACAGAATGTATAAAACCAACCTTTATTTTTCCTCTAATAATAACACTGACGTAAAAAAACCATCACCAACATTGAGGGCTTGTTTGACCCTGAAAAACCTGTGCCCTTGGTTCCCTCTGTGGGAGAGAGTTGTTTTTGTATACATCACTGTGAAATGGCACGTATGCATGGTGGCAAAGTGTACAATGTAGTTTTTTGGTCCCATTTGCACTCCATCGCTTTTAGGGGTGTGCATCCTGAATGTCAAACTGTTACTTTTTTAACGTTAGAATATCAAATGGTTACTTGTTTGACACTGAATGCCAAATGTCGAACGAACGAGAATCTAACTTCACAACAGTCTGTGACTAGTGTAAGGGGAATTAGGAAAATAGGAAGATGGAAACACTTTATATACTTCTCTTTTAGTGGGAATGGGAACAAACTGAAGAACCCAACTTTCCTTTATAGCCTATATAAGCAGAAACTATTAACTAGGCTTGGTTATATTTGTGATATATGTGAAAATTAATCCTTAGCCTATGGAAATGACATTGATAGAATACACTGAAATATTACATTCTGCACGTTCAGCTCCATGAAATGATTTTGTTGCAGCCAGAGGGGGTATCACTTCCTCGATTTTCAGAATTAACAAATCGTAATTTCCTTTGGCAACTCTTTGAGTAGCATCTGAGAGAATAGTTCCGCCAGAATATTATTAGTGTGGACAATAAAATTTAAGTCAGTAGGAGAAAGAATGAGTACCTGCAGTGGCTAGGGAGCAACCCACAAGGCACTGGCATCCCATCCACGGGAAAACAGAAATATTTTTTTATGTAGTTTTGCAAGGGATCCAAATATAAACACCAACCTGGCTCAGACCAGATCAGACCGATGGGTAATGAACACAGACTGAGGGCCTTGAGTGGTGGACGGCCGTTACAGGGAATACATGTTTTATGCTATACTGGAAGGGGATGCGTAATGTCGGCATCGATGTAACTTCATTGGTCTTTTTCATCGCACTTTTGTCATCGCACTTTTTCCATCACTCTTTTTCCACTGCTCTTTCTTGATAGATTAAAAGAGATTGATCGATGTACTAAAAGACCAATTGATCTAAGTAGACAGTAGAAGAATGATTGATCGATGGGTGGTGTGAAGTTAGTTCTTCATTCCTCGTTTGACGTTCGACATTCAATGTTGAACAATTAACTGTGTCATATTCTAACTTTAAATAAGTAACAATTTGACATTCAGGGTGCACACGCCTAAGGGAAAAAAAAAACCAAAATCTACCGCGAACGTCCAAATCCATTCATGTACGCAAATTACATTGTACGTGCCTTTTCAGAATAATGTATAAACAACTCTATCCAGTGTTGTAGTTGAGACCTTTATGTCCGAGACCGAGACCAAGACCGAGACCAGCTCTTTCAAGACCGAGACCAGAACTTCGAGACCGAGACTTTTGCAGTTCGAGACCGAGACCAAGATGACCGAGACCGAGACCTTGCACAACATACTGTATACAATATATAGGCCTACATGTAGTTCATTGATGGTAAACGTGGTTGACAATTGGCATTAAACAGCAAAATTAAGTGCAAATTTTACATGTGAAGCACACATTCCAGCTTTGATTTCATTCTTTATCGTGAATACCATGTCGTATATGTTCCAAGAATACATGCGGAATTGCGTGCAGTTTGGAACTAATCACATTCGGAGGTAAACTTGCGCTGCAAGCAGCACTGCTGTATACATACAGTATGTGTGCTATATGTACCGTATGATCCGGGTACGTGATTTTGCCGCAGCCGAGCATGAATTGTTGACGCACATTTTCTGCATTTCTGTCATGGTCTCGGCAGGTCTCGGGTGGGAGACCCGAAACCTCGGCATCCGAGACCGAGACCAACCCTCCCGAGACCGAGACTCTTGTAGGCCGAGACCAAGACCGAGACCTCAAAAAAAGGTCTCGAGACGGTCTCGAGACCGAGACCAGGTCTCGAAACCTCCAACACTAACTCTCTCCCACAAAGGGAACCTTGGGCGTAGGGTTCTTCGGGGCCAAACAGGTAACCGGTCAAAGAAGCCTGAGGTGTAGGCGATTGTGTGTTGTGTTTTGGCACTGTAAATATTAGAAGAGAGATACAGGTTAATGTTATCTTCTCCTTGTTTTCACCGAACTGTTCAACTCAAACGAAATCAGTCAGACGCCCCAGCCATCAACGTTCTTTTTTTGGTGCCTTTCTTTACACTTTAGTGACCCTTTGCCTGCATTTCAACCGGGCAAAGGCAGTTTTCCACGGTCAAAAGGGCTTTGAAGAAAGTCGTGTCTCTTCGCTGGACTTCTTCGCTTGCAAACCAGAGTGGACAAGTGAATGCCTAACACTACACTGAATTAAAATACCAGAACCCCATGCCCCGCCTGGAAATTACATCGAATCTGCATGTCATTGTTCTCAATCAGGGACAACTCCTCAAAAACCGGGGAATGGGGTCCTTTGAGGTGAAACAAACCCTGAAATGTAGGCACGGATTTTGACGGCCGTGTCCTTATTCGAGGAAAAAACACTTATAAATGTCAAATGGTTACTTATTCAACGTTCGAATATGAAACGAATACTTGTTCCACATTGAATGTCGAACGTCAAACGAGGAATTAACTTCACATCGGTTGATCGATGTAGGGGAACAATCGATTGATGAAGGGGAACGATCAATCAATGCTAAAGAATGATCGACAGGCTTATGTTGCCTCCAAGTTTTTGCCTCTTTGGCGTTCTATACATGTATAATAATAAGTGAGATAAATGTAAGCCGAGACCTGCTATGCTGGACCATGGAGGTAGAATCACCTCCATGGCTGGACAGGACTGGCACAGTGGCAGTGGCATGACGAGTGCAAATTCGGTCTACCATTTTCACGCTTGTAATTTGTATCATGGACCTCCATGCTTGTATTTAGCCCCTACCTGTCAAAATACCAACTAGTGGTGGCCTTTCAGTGTCATCACGGAGCTCATCAGCTTTATTTGCCATACTAAAAGCAGGTCTTGAAGCTGAAGAAAGCACTCATGAGACAGCGACAGTTTTCCGTTTTCACGGTGCGATGACTTCATGTAATAATGCAGCCAACTACGAGGAATCCGACAAGAATCAAGCAACGCAGCATGCAGACTGCCACAATGCATGCAGCCACAACACAGCCACTGTGTTCCGACTAAGGCTGTGAATAATACGGTCGCCTACAATAGCCACAAGCTTGTGGCAATTAGCCACTTTTAGGTCTACGATATGTGGCTCGAGGTACGACATTTCAAATTCAACCCGAAGCGCGGCGTCGGATCCGGTGGCCGCATTTAAGATTCGGGATATTGCATCACTCAGATTTCGTGGAATGCAGCAACACCGTTTTTATTTTACTTCGCATTTGACTACACATCTCTCAGAACATCCCATAATACACCACTGGTTACGAACAAAACTTGATAACAAAGTGTATTTTGGAGTTTTATAATCTGGTAGTGCAGTGCAGCTCCATTCGCATGATACGCCAACGAACTCATAGTGTGTGGTTTTATCAGGTATTTTATCTTTCTTTTTTCTCTGACCATTTTGTCAATTTTATTTGAAGTTCAAGTAAGGAGTTGCGAGAGAAGTCGGCGAGATGCCTTTCGCACAGAGCTCTGGAAGTGCCACCCGACTTAATGAGATCCAGAAATGTTTGGGATGATGACATAATACAGGCAAGATGTCGACATACCGATATAATTTATCATGGGCTGATGACACCGTACAAGTAAGTTAATTAGATCGACCTACTGTGAACTAAGATAAATGCTGGATGGAAAAAACATCAGCCTACGCTACTGATGCCCAGACCTCCATATTAAACTAACCATAATTGTACAGCGGGACGATCACAAGAAGTAAAGTAGACAGTGACGTAACAGGATTTTACTCGTGGGGACACAATGGGGGCACCAGCATCTTATGAGGTCACGAGCTTTCAGTGGTGTGGTTTTTGGGGCAAGTTTTTGTTAGCCTTGTTCAATATCCAATCATCCCTTTTTTCAGCAGGGGGGGCACATGCCCCCACAAATTCCCGGTGCCCCTCAGCCCCCCCCCTGCTACGCAACTGAGTAAACATAACACTTGTGGGATATTGTTACAACAGAATAAATGAACCCAGTATGTCGTCGTGCAACTTTTACGATGTCGTCACCCCATTGTAGATTATCACAGGATGTCGACATCTTGCCATCTCGACAAGTCAGATGGCACTTCTAGAGCTCCATACTTCCGCGTATCCGATTAGACGCCATAACCGCGGTGGCTCCGCACCATTGATCTCCATTATATACAATGCTCCGCACTCACTATA